GCCGACAGGGAACTCTGGCGTGGGCTGGTCCATGCGGTCACGAAGAGTCGGAGACGACTGAATGAATGAACAACAACAACATATACCGATCATCTGGAGAGGCCCTGCTCACGATCCCACCTGCCTCGCAAGCACGTTTGGTGGGGACGAAGGACAGGGCCTTATCTGTGGTGCCCCCGACTCTGGAACTCTCTCCCCAAGGACATCAGACAAGCCCCAACGTTGGCAGTCTTTAGGAAGAGCTTGAAGACGTGGCTGTTCCAGTGTGCCTTCCCAGAATAGGAAACTCTGAGCATCATGTCCCAAATGCACTTTATTAGAGATTTGATTGTCTGCACACCACACCCATCTCCAAAAATTTATCCATTTCACCTGTCATGTCCAGCATTTTTTTTAAATTATTCATTACATTTGGCCCGGCCTCAGTTTTAAATGCGTCGTGGTGTTATTGTCTAATGTTTATTGCTATTGTTTTAATGTTTTATTGCTTTGCTTTATGAGTTTATTTATTGTTGTATTTGTTATGCTTTTGTTTTATTGATGTGTTGGGCCTCGGCCTCTTGTAAGCCGCACGGAGTCCTTCGGGAGATGTTAGCGGGGTATAAATAAAGGATTATTATTATTATTATCATCATCATCATATGATGCTGTGGTGTAAATCTTATATAAATTAAAATGTAATGTTCGTTTGTGGGATTAATAGAACTCAAAAACCAGTGGGACAATTGACACGAAATTTGGACAGCATACACCTAACAACCCAAAGTTTTTTGATTTTGTCATTTGGGAGTTGTAGTTGCTGGGATTTATAATTCATCTACAATCAAAGAGCATTCTGAACTCCACCAATTACGGCATTGAACCAAACATGGCACACAGGACTCCCATGACCAACAGAAAACACTAGAAGGGTTTGGTGGGCATTGACCTTGAGTTTGGGAGTTATAGTTCACCTACATCTAGAGAGCACTGTGATAGGTTTGGACCAAACTTGGCACAAATATTCCATATGTCCAAATATGAACACAGATGGAGTTTGGGGGAAATACACCTTGACATTTGGGATTTGCGGTTACTGGGATTTATAGTTCACCTACAATCAAAGAGCATTCTGAATCCCACAAACGACAGAATCGGGCCAGATTTCCAACACAGAACCCCCATGACCAATAGAAAATACTTAAGGCCATCCAGTCCAACTCTTTTCACCAGGGCAAGAAAATGTAATCAGAGCCCTCCTGATAAAGACCCATCCAGCCATAGACATAAATAGATATATATGACACACACACAGATATAGTATCATAGATTTGAAAGTGACCCCTAAAGCCACAGATATAGATAGATATTATTCACACACACACATAGTATCATGGATTTGAAAGGGACCCCTAATGAAGGACAATGATATGTTGCATATTCCAGAGTAGGCAAACCAGACACTCTCCACATCAACACTGACAAAGAAATACTGTTTACCCACAAGCATAAAGTAATTACATATATTAGAAACCAACACTTTCTGATTAGTTTATTTTCCAGATCACCAGACTGGGTCACAGCAACATGTGGCAGGGGACGGCTAGTTAAAAATAAATATGTAAATACAGGAGTTATTAAATACTGAAATCCTTTTATGAGTTTTGGCCCACATTGTACAACTATCTGGTTCCCTCAACCCTGTTGATTGACAGCTTTTACATAAATGTTTTAATATGTCTCTTTTATATAAGTACATTTTAATATGTATATTTATAGAATTTTTACAATGTTTATGTAGCATATGCTATATGTATTGTTTTCCTTTTTCACTCTCTAAGACATATTTAATAATATGCTATAACAATACAACCTTGTTGGTCAGGAATTTTGGATTTGACATTTGGTTAATCTGCTTCTTGATCACATCTGCTTCTTGATATTTGGTCCATATTTGACTGACATTCTTGCTTCTCCACTATAAGCAGATGTACCTTGCCGTCTTGGAAAGTTAGACACCCTGTAGCTCTTGATCACAGAAGCCGAGGGGTTAACAAGACTGCCAAAACTGTAGAATAACAATGGTAAATTGGCTGTTAGGAATTGTGGTAGTTGAAGTCCAAAACACTTGGAGGGCCCAAGTTTGCTCATGCTTGCATTAAGAGGATCTTGGGTATATCTGCAGGGTTTGGCATGTTTGCAACCAAGGTATGGCAATGGTTCCCAACCTCTGCTCCTCTAGTTCCTTTGGGCTTCATCTCCACTTCGGCCAATGGTCAGAGATTCCAGGAGCTGAATGTCCAAGGGAGCATCACCAGTAGAAATCAGGCAGTTTGACACCACTTTTAACTGCAATGGCTCAATGCTATGGAATCCAGGGAGTTGTAGTTCTGTAAGGTTTTTTAAGTCTTCACTGCCAAAAAGTGTTGGTGCCTCACCAAACTACAAATCCCAGGATTCCAAAGCATTGAGCCATAACAGGTAAAGTGGTGTCCAACTGCATTAATTCAGCAGCTTGGTTTCTAGATGCAGCTTCACTTAGAGTGCATCTACACCAGGCATGGGTAGAATCATAGAGTTGGAAGAGACCTCGTGGACCATCCAGTCCAACCCCCTGCCAAGCAGGAAAACCGTGTTCAAAGCACCCCCAACAGATGGCCATCCAGCCTCTTTTTAAAAGCCTCCATAGAAGGAGCCTCCGCCACACTTTGTGGTAGCGAGTTGCACTGCTGAACTGCTTCCCAGAGTCAGAAAGTTCTTCCTAATGTTCAGGTGGAATTCCTTTCCTGTAGTTTGACTTTGGCCATTCAGGTGTTTTGGACTTTAAATCCCACAGTTCCTAACAGCCAGTAAACTGCCATGACTCAATACTACAGAACCCTGGGGTTTGTTATTTGGCGAGGCTCCAGTGTTATTTGGTAGGGCTGCCTAAAGACCCTTTAAAAAACTACTGTTCCTAGAATGCCATTGCATTGAGCCATAGCAATTAAAGAGGTGGTGTTCAACATTAATTCTACACTGTAGATCAGTGGTTCTCAACCTGTGGACCCCCAGATGTTTTGGCCTTCATCTCCCAGAAATCCTAACAGCTAGTAAACTGACTGGGATTTCTGGGAGTTGTGGGCCAAAACACCTGGGGACCCACAGGTTGAGAACCACTGGTGTAGATGCACCTTTAGACTATGTTAAAGCATCCCAACAGGTTGTAATCAAAGTACCAGCCAATCTGGTAGCTCCAGAAACCGATTTAAACTTAGAACAATCCTGTTGAATCAATGAGGATTAATTCCACAGCCAAGTCCAAACTATTGGTTTTTAGACAGGCAAACTTATGCTAGTCAAGCCAAAAATTTGTTGTCTTTATTGGAACTAAGCTCACAATTCAGACACACAGCAAACATTCCTGGTTCTCTCATCCAGATGTTCTTCCATCTGAAGAACCTTATATAAAAAGGGGTTGGTGAAAGCAGCTTTTCTGTTAATGTTAACTGGGACTCAGAACCCACTGTGTTTTTTCCTCCAGATCATTTAGAAATGTTCTCACTCTTCACATAGAGTCAGCTATCCATATTTGCTGGGGTTAGGGCCTCAGGACACCGCTGAAAGCAAAACACTGCAAATAAAGATTTTTTTTTTAACATGAGAAAAAAAAACTATTTAGGAATTCTACATCTTCCAGCATGACTCTATGGCTACTTTTTGGTGGGTAGCTGGTCACAGAATCATATCAGGCCCTAGAAATTCCTCTGAAGGTGTTGTCACCAGAAATGTCTAGGTCACGTCTGCACAATTTGGTAGTAATGAGCAAAAATTAAATAGGTTAAGATTCTTGGGACTGCAAATAGATTTTTAGCACCTCACTTTCCAAGTAAGGTTTAATTATGTTCAATTATGATGTTGTGTGCCTTCAAATCGTTTCCGACTTTGGGCAACCCTATTGCAGTTTTCTTACCAAGATGTATTCAAATGGGATTTGCCTTTGTCTTCCTCTGAGGCTGAGTGTGTGACTTGCCTAAGGTCACCCAGTTTTGTTCAGAGCTATAGTCTGAGGTCCAAACCACCACACCATGCTTTCTGAATTCCTTCCATTTCCTACTTACCTTTCTTTCTTCCTTTAACTTGCTGACTTGAAGTGTGGTGGAAGCTCCTTCTTTGGAGGCTTTTAAATAGAGGCTGGGTGGCTACCTGTCAGGGATGCTTTGTTTGTGCTCAGTTGTTCTACCTCAAGGTCTGAGGCAGTTGAGTAGTTTGGCAGCTGTATCCATGATACGGCGCTAGACACCTAGAATACTAACAGGGACTCAAAGGGTTAAGGCCAGGCAATGCCTTGAGGCTAGAGCAGCCCAGCAGGAAGTGCCCGGATATGGAAGAAGAGTGTGGAAATCACAGAGGGAAGACGCTTCCGCTTCCACTTCTGCTTCTTTTCCCCCTTTCCTCCCTCCTTCCTCCTTGTCTTGCCTTTTTCACTTATTGGGAATGGAGAGTGAGTTGGGGAGCGCTCCTTTAATTGAAGCAGGAATGCTGGAGGAAAAGGGGGGCATTGTATAACAGCGTCAGATAACACAAAATGTCGGATAAGACGAAATGTCGGATAAGCAAAGGTCGGATAAGTGACTACTGTATCTACATCCCATTTTCTGTGAAATTAACTCCCTTCAAAGGCATACTTGCTTCAATAGGGAACTTATAAGGTCACAAATTTGCACTTTTTTCTCATTTTCATTTTTCTTATTTTTGTGCACTGTAACAACACACATTTATGCCCAAAACCAGATTTTCACATTCATGTATGTTGATCTTCTATAACATTTATCAGAAGTCTTTGAAACATTCTCTAGGAGGTACAGTGTAGGAAATCCATCTTGATCTCTCATTTTATTTGCATAATAGAGAAATAGAAAGTAAAGCTATCAATGGGAACTCTCAGAGGAATGATACACAGTCCAAAAACATTACATTTTCGTGAGACACTATTGTAAAGAGAAAACAAGTATTGAAAAAAGTGACAAGGAGTCCAAAGATTAAATGCTTAGCAGCCAAACACATTTATTAGTCTTTTCTTTTTCCAGGAACCCAAAAAAATATTTTGTAGTTATAATGTAAGCAACTGAGTTGCACATAATACAATCATATCTTTAAAAAAATAAAATAAAAACAAAATAAAAACAAAAGCCGTTTAAAAGCAAAAAACCTTCAGAAAACGTAATATGTATTACACCATCTCTCAATTTCAATGAAATGACGACGACTTATTTCCTTATTACTCTCAACTTGTCACACTCCAATAAAACATCACCCTTTTGTTGGTTTGAAATCCAGCATGAGAAATACAGTACCTGCTATGGCAAAATACACATAAATGCAACATTTCAGCTTATTTGTACATTAGTAGAGTTTAAACATTTTATTGTCTTTTTAAGTGAGCCAGTGATTTTAAGTACCACTATACTAAAATAAAAATAGAGAAGAGAGGGCAAAGGGGAGGGCAGCATGCCATGCAAGAGCACAATGTGCCAAGTTTCTGTGTCCATGTGAATTCCTACGATAAAAAGTAAACTGAAATCAAGGTGAGATTGGGGGAAAAATAAGAGCAAGTTTGAGTAAGAGACTATGCCTTTTCCTATTTCCCACTGTCTTACACTCCTTGGATGCCCAATAGACAAATGGAGATGGGTATATTATTTCAAGTATAAGGAAAAATACTAATAGGTATATTTGCAAAGAGCCTCAATACATGTATCCATTATTATGCCTGCTTGATGAAGGGACAGTGTTTTAGGCAATAGCATCTCAACTGTACCTTCTCCGTATTACCTATTTATGTGCAAAAAAGAAAAGCTGCCTTTCCCAATCCAGATGTTTTGGACACAGGATTGTTTGCTTCACAAATAAGGCCAGATGGAACTAACTTCTTCCATTTCCTGTAAATACATTTTTCCACTAATAGCCTGCTTACCGGAAAAATGAAGCAAAATTCACTAAGCTGGATATCCACTATTGGGTCAGTTTCCTGATCAGTTCTTTGTAAACATAGCCCCACAGGAGCTCTAACATTTAAGCAGCATTTCAAGTCTTTATCTAAATAGTGGAAGTGAAAGCAATTCTAAACCCCTTATTCCATTGCTATCCTTATCCCTCCCACCAGGAAATATTGTTGGTTTTCTTACTTGAAAACATTAAAGGTATTTTCCAAAGGAAAGAGTGCATAATTATTTGCAGAGCAAAGTTGCTGTTTGATGAAGGGAGATTCTGCACTTCACTGTTTACCAGGCTGGTGAAGTCTGGAATATGCATACACAAGCACTGATCCTATAGATATGCCTGTATCACTCTGAATTTAATCTCTGTAGATTTATGAATCACACAGCAGCTGTGCATAGAGCTGCTCCTCGAGGAGTAAAGTATGGAAACTATAGGGGAGTGTCCAATATGACTTTACAGATCGAACAGAACCAAATCTTAGGTTTTCTAAAATGCAAATCCCAAATCTTGGGCTCAATATGCACATCCCTGAGATGCACGTTTTAATATTTAAGAGATCAGAGTAACCCTTATGTTCAGAACGGAGAGAAAGTAGCAAAGGCTCCCTGCAGATGTGGAATTTACCCAAACCTTTTCTTCCATCAGCTCCAAAGGATTTTGGGAAGTTTGTAAGGCATTTTCACAAGCAGCTTCTTTTATCAAACACTACTAATGTTTCCATGTTTTATTGGCATATAATGGCTTGTGTGTATTGGGAATGAGGCAGTATATGTTTAACACGCAATCAGGGAAGGAAGCTGGGATAGTATCTCCAGCTTAAGTGGGCTATTGGACAACTCTAATCATTTTACAACTTTCATGCAAACTGCAAGAGGATGTTCTTTGTTCTAACAACTGCCACTGAGCAGTGAATCTAGCTAAAAGCCCATAAGCAAATAAAAGATATAGCAGTACGTCTGGAAAGGACTGCAAATCTTTCATATAAGAGAAAATTTGCTTTCTTGTTTAAAATGTATGTGCTAAAGCCTGGCATGTCTATATTTTCTATGCAAAAGTCAAAAGGGGATGATTGACATAACAGGAGAGAATAATGCAGCGTGAATTGTTCAGTCCCCTAAATTTCTTCCTAATGGTTAAAAGTATTTCAGAACATCTGATGGCTTAAATGAATAAATACACTTTCCTCTCCCATTCCTTCTAGTGTGATATGGGAAAGGAGGTATCCTGCTAGTTACACCTCCATATAATAATACTTATAAAAAGTACTTTTTCTTTGAAGCACTTCACAAAAGCCTTTAGCCAATCCTCACAAAACCCGTGTGAGGTAGGTAAGTATTATTATCCCCATTTTACAGATGGGGAAACTGAGGCAAAGGTTAACTGACTCTCGCCTAAGGCAAAAAGAGGAAGGCTAGGTTTAGTTCTCAGGAGTTTCAGCATCTCAATCCAGTCTTCAAACCACTGGGGGGAAATTCAGTTAGAATATAACCTCACTAAGTATGAAAGAGACTATTTCCAGGATTCTGCATACACTAAAGGTAAATGTGCACCATGAGGTATTTTGTGATAAAGAGCTGAAACATGTTTCTCCTTCCTTCCATGGCATCTACCAGAGTAGAGTCCTGATACGATCACACCTGCAAGGCAAGTATGCATGTGAGAATGAGTGTTCAAGTCTATTATTCATTACAGTACTGTGAACACCAACAAAATTTGCAGTATGAAGAACACTGAATCACAGGTAGTAGAATCTCTTGGCTATGATACTGCATCCAAGATAATGCCAAGCACACCAAGGCAAAAACCATAGTTCACAAAATCTAAGGGAGACAGTCAAGGCAATGCACCTCCGTTAACACAGGAAGCAGACTCTACATTCTAGAGGTAAGTGTGAAATGTTTTTGCATTTACAGAAGGTTCCTGTTACTTAAATTTAGAATGGCTTCTTTGTACATTTTTAATCATTGCTATAATTCACTTTTGTTCCAAGACTGGTAGAATTAGTTCAGATAATTCACAAGTGTCAGAAGTAGATATAAGTCTTCCTTGACCAATTCAGATCAACATTTAAAGTCAAGGAATTAATTAATGCCAGTACAGTATTATACTCACTCCTGATTGATACTGCTTTGAAAGTTGCATCTGTAATGCAAATTAGTAGTACACTTTAGGTTTGGTAAAACCTAAATGTTTTGGAAATGTAATATGGGAGAAGCCATGTTGCAATTCTCCTGAGGACCAAGGACAGTTGTAGTGGAGAACAAGTAGTAGAATAAATCCTTGAAGATAGTGCATTATGTGTGGTTTCCTGAGGTTGAAGGAGATGGTATTAATGGTAAATTCTCTTCTTAGAGAAAGCAGGGACATTGTGTATTATGCTGCTGACCCTGATCTAACACTGCATGGCAAGAATGCATAGACCTGTGAAACAGGCAAAAGTCATTCAATTTCTCAAGTCCATCTCTAACACGCACACACCAAAAATATTTGCCTGGCAATCAAAGTAGTCTTTCCTTAACAACATCAATCTCTTTCCTCCTACTCCATGGGAATTCAGTGGACACAGAAACAATTTCAACGGTTTAGCAGGGCTCTCTTTTGCTCCCCCAGACCATCTCTTGCTGAATGCATAGTTAACATTTCACTTACAAGATAAAAGAAGCAATGCTGACCACATATGGGACCTTTTTGTTTGTCTGAAAAAGAAACAACCTCTTCTTAAAATTCAGTATCAAAATTCACATTTGCATAATAATACATTTCAAGGCCATTAGAGAGGAATGAGAGCGAAGCAAAGAAAGCTGCAGCATCTCCCCCCCCTTTATCTTCCTGAATGGAGCTGAAGAGAGTTTGCTAGAGCTTTCATTTGGGAAGGGAGCTGGGAGGTGCTACAGCTGCTCTTGATTTTGTACACCTTGCTTTTGAGGTGGGGAGAAGAAGAGGTGGAATATATATGAAAGAATAAATGATAGGAGACACTGCAGATTCCCATGTTTAGCTACAAACAGCTTCAAGAGAAACAAATAATTACTTTAGATTAAAAAACAACAACAACACAACACTTCTTCATCACCATTTCAAAAACATTTCATTTTCTTGTGTAATACCCTGTTCATTTAAATGGCAACATTAAGTGTGCTAGAAGTTATAGGGTAGATATTTTCTTCTTCTATCATCAGGACAGACAGAGGGCAAAAAGTGTACCTACATACCCACGACTGGCAGAAGCGACAAAATACCTTCTTCTCTACATGCATCTCAAACATCACTGCGTTTTTCAGTTTTCCAGTGCTTTTAAAAAAAGGTTAAAGCAAGCCACATATACAAATGTAATGGATACATAACACAGATACCAATCCAACCAGCAACTGAGAGCTAGCATAAATATTGTTAACTTTATGTGAATTACAACCCCACCCACACCAGGATGCATCTGCCATCAACAACTGCATATGGTGCAGCTCAGAGACCAGCCCCCGAAGACACTGTTTGTTGAAAGGTACCAAAAGGCTGGAATCTTTGCACCTGACCTTTAGAAAGAATAAACTGACCACTATCTCCTCCCTGTTAAGCCCAAGTAGTTTCCTTGAACTAACAGTCACGTACTCACAAAGGCACATTCAGAGAGACCACATTTAACTTACTGCCCATTTAAAACTAAATAACCAAAACAAAACCACCTCTGAAACATTGCCCCCCTCCAAAAAACAAAAAAACAAAAACACCAGGGAATGTTAAGCGCTTATATCCCAAATCCCATGCCGACTGACCCAGCAAGAAGCTTCACAATGTATCACTTCGTGAGACTCTATTCTACCTTCAGAAGGTACATATTTTCTTTAAGAAGTTAACACCTCTGTTTGCATAAATGATTTTTTTTTCATTTTTGGCTTACACAATTTGGAATACAGCACACCCTCACTATAAAGCTCTGTTGTAAGGCTACTCCCTAAAGTAAGGCTGCTCTAAACTTGGCTCCCATTTATTTATTTTCCCCCCTGCCCCCTCCCACCCAAACTGCAAAGCACTCAGCACTTTATATAAAAAGAAGGTGAGCCAATCTGGCTGGGATCAGGAAGGAGAAGAAAAGCACTTGATATTCACAACCATGCCACAAAAAATATCCAGCAAGCGAAGTAATTCTTTATAACAAGGACTCAACTAAAGGTTGAATTTTCTAATAAAGAAAAAAATCCCACATCCATTTTTAAAAATTAAAACATACTAAGAAATGAGGAATTTAGTTATTTGAATGCATTGGTTGGTACACTAATAGCTATGATGAGGCACTAAGCGCTTACAAAAACACTTCCTGCTCAACACTGCCCATCTGCCTTGTTTATCCATGGACCACATGCCCACATCCCTATCTTCTTCTGTTCTGTACACATCCAATAATATGTCTAAATAAATCCACAGGTTGCCTAGCACAATATTTACCTTCAATATCCTGGAGTGCACTGGGTTTTTCTTGTTAAAATGTATGGTTGGATGGGCTCAAGTACAGATACATTCCAACTCTATGGCTAAAAAATACAAATGCAAATAATAATACTAATACTAATACAAGGATACAACTTTAGCTGTCGTCATAACCAGCATATGAAGAGGAAGAAATTGGCTCTAAGAGGTTGACTCTTTTGATCCTTCTATGGCCCATATCTTTGAGAGATTTGCAAATATACTGCACAAAAAAACTCAAAACGCAAGTATGTTGTCACTGTTGCATATATCATGGATTTGGTTATGTCTTTAGTGCCCATAAACAGTCTCCCAACCCTATGGGAGTTGTTTTATGTTAAGAGAATCCACATGACTGGGAACTGTGTTTCTATGAGCCATGTTGGTCTGGCAACTGCTAGCATGTTAGGAGACTTGCCAGGTTCAACACATGGTTAAAATTTGTTCCCCTTTGTACCACAGGAGGGAAAATAATTCTTTTGATTTGGCTATTGCTTGCACATGTTTAAAGCAACGTTCTAAAGCAGGGAAAAGGTTCTCAAGTTCAACTCTAATTTCATTTTCATCCAGTCACTCAATTTTATGAGCACATTCTCTTAGAATGTTGCACTTTCATAACAAATTAAAAAGGCTACGATGAATTTGCATGGGTCAGATCAAAAGCTACTGTGTTCTTGCACAAGTTTTCAGCCTTGGAGATGGATTGCTGCAGTAGTAAATTCTGAAAACTTTCCCAGAGTAGTACAAGAGAATTAAGACAAAATGTCAAATTCTTGTAAACGATAAATGCAACAGTTAAGGTTTAACATACTATTAAGCCACACAACTACATATCAGTGCTATCATGAAAACTAATCAGAACTTATTTTAACTGCAATTTTTTTGGAAAAATATGGAAGGCCAACATTACAGATTTTATGCATGTTCTTGATGAGAAGCAATGACTTCAATGTAATTTTAACTGCATTTAGGGTAGCATTTATACTGCATGTAGAGTGTTTTTGTCATTGTTGCACACTGATAATGAAGGAGCAGTAAAGACCAGCCAAACATAGCCTACCCAGGTGGGAACAGAGTATCTCATTCAGTCATTACTTTTTTTAAAAAGTTAAGGTATTTGATCTGCAGAATGGGTTTAGATACCCAATAAAATGTACAAACTGGTTATGGGATAACATTATTCAAGTCTATGGAGGATAGCACAAAGAAATAGTTGGCTTGAAAGAAGTATTATCATTTGTCACATTTGACAGTTCAAATGCCTGCAATTAAAATCAAACTGGGAATATATATTGATTTACATTTTCTATATTTTGAAAAACTTCAAAAGAAGAAAAAAGGTCCTAATTTATAGTAACAGTAAATTGGCTTCTAATCTTTGACATGGCTACTGCAGCCTAAATGAACAGTCATATTTCAGAACAAGTAAGAAAAAAGAAATGCAACTATCTTGACAAAAGGAATGGACAGCACCCGATTTATTAAAGTGTGCTGGGAAAACTACAGCTTTTCCTGATTTATCAGCATGACATATTTGGAAATAAGATTTTAATGTTGTTATCTGAGAGCGGTTTGGACAAGACAAAAGAGGAAGACAAAACAGATCCAAATGAGATTCTAGACCTGATAATTTCAGTTTATACAGGCCAAACTGTGCATATGGAAAGAGAAAACAGTAGAAGAGTTTGAAGTTGGGAATGAGTAACTACAATATACAGTTCCAAAGAAGCAGGACAAAAAGTAATAAGGGTTGTTTCTGTCTTAGTAGAAGCAAGACCTGTTTTCATGAAAACAGGAAATACAGACATGTGGCATCAAGCTATGGAGGATCAACAGTTCCAGATCAGTATCTAATGTAATTGTTACCCCTTCTGAGTAGAAAATGAATGAAAATATGATTATCACTGACAAAATAGCTGCTGAAAACATTTCCCTATCCACTATTTTTTCAGATTTGTTAAAGAGTTGCAAATGTGAACTTTGCTTCCCTTATGCCTATTTCTATTTTGAGTCAGACAAGCCAGTTTGTCCTCTAGAAAAAAAGGTGTTCTAATTTGGTGCTTCTGTTTGGTTCACTAAACAGATAGAGCATATCAAGTTCAAAACAAAACAGAAACAGTTTGGAAACTTGTATTGCAATATCCAGAAACCACATATTTAAAATGTTCAAGGAATTTTATATTTCAATTGTGTCTTTAAAAGTGTGAACCTTTTGTATGCATAGGTTGAAATGTTGAGAGGTAAAAGGATGCTTCAAATAGGACAGCACTGTACATTTCCCATTACATCTTCTTCAGCCATTTTCAGATATGGCTCTTCTCAGTGAATAAAATTAGATTTTATTTTATATTGTTTTACTAAAATTTTCTTCTGGGAGTTAGCCAATAAATCAAAGGCATTCAGCTAGTTTCCTTTCAAAATGAAACAAAAACCTTTGATGACCTATCACACCAAGCATCAACTGAAGCACGTTTTTCAATGTGCTCTTACGGGAAACAGAGCAACATACAGCTTTAGAGGACAACTGTTGTCACAGAACACTAAGCATTACTTCACACATTATTGTTTTTCTACACCGAGATAGTATTATCTCAGGAAAATATGTACACTAAGTGAGGTGCAGTATGTGTGATTTTATTTTTCATTATCCCCACCGGATAACTGGGTCTTCTGCATCACATTTCACACATTTATTTGTACATCTCAAAACAAGAAAACAGCAGTACATGGAGCTGTCTTAGATTTCCAAGAAGCACTTTTACACAAATATAATTTTATATTATGTTCTTTGTATGATAGGTCCTTGAGGCGTCTTTTCAGCATGCTCAGATCCATTTTTTCAATTTAGAAAAAACAATTGCTTGATTTCCTTGGGAGTGACTGGACTGCATATGTCCTTTAGCAGGATGTATGGATGTATTACAAAGGCACTAAAGTGGTTGTGATTTCATTCCATCTAAAAAGCTTCAGGCAAATTAAGTCTTTATGTCTTTTTGTGCTGGAAGTTAGGAGCTAGCAATCCCAGAAAAAAAGCTTCAATATGCTGATTTCAAGGATGGAAGTCCCAAAGTCTGGCAGCAATAGCTGATGTATTTTACTTCCCCCCAATGTCCCAATTTTTTTGATTTACCCAACTCTGACTGAGAAATGAAGATATATATATCTCTTCAAATGATAATTAAAGCCAACTAAGCCGATTCTTCTCCAAAGTATATTCCACTAAATTCTCATATCATAACTTCTGCTTCTTTTTGCTATTTTAAAATGAGTATGTTAAAATGGCTCCATTACTGGGACACAATAAAGATATTTCCTTTCTGAAGCTTTCATTCACTTTAAAAGTAGTTTCAAAAATACCATGCCATACTCTCAGCAACTACCCTTAACTGTGGTTGACCTGCTTAGTCAAACCAAAATGAGTTTTTTTTCTTTTTTCTTTTTCTAAAAAAAGGTGCTTGGAGGAAGATTATGTTCACTGTGAAATAACTAGATGAATATAGTTTCATTCATACGCAACCCTTTCCCCATTCAACCGCACACACACACGCCCACTTGAGACTAAGCTCTACAAGTATAAATCTTCTCACAACTTGCACTTTTAAGAATACAATGAATTTTTGTTGCTGCTGCTGAGAACTCCTTTCAAATCAATTTGTACTTTTAAAAAAATCTGATCCCCTGTTCTGACATTTGGAGTCTGTATTTGTGAATTTTGTTTTTCAATTTTTTGCTTTTTGTAAAGAAAAAAATCTTTTAAATTTCTTGAAGGTTCAGGAACTTGTAAAAGTTTATGAAAGAAACAGCCATCTATCTAGGATAAGGTAAATGTTAAATAAACCATCTTCAAAAACTGGCTTCCTACCCTAGAATTCCTGAGAATGCTTGCAAATTTAAAGCAGGAAAATAAATGTTAAACACAAAAACACTGTTAAATGCTCCCAGAGTTAGTCTTCATCTTATATATATATATATGCACACGCACTTTTTGGTCTTTTTAAATAAGTTTTCATTTTTCCCTTTAAGCTTGTGATGGAAGAACATTTTAGCTTTCTTTTTTTTTTAAATATATCATATCCCTCATTATGTCTTGTAAACAAGAGGGGCTCTAGCACCCGGCTTTCACCGTAGTATCGTAATGAACTCAACAAATCCAAAGTGCAGGCAAAAGGGACTATAGGGCAGGTTGGGAGAGAGATCGGTAACACAGTAGTGAACCAGCCTGTGTATAAACGCACATACTGGAGCACACAGCTCTTTTCTGAGCCACGAGGTGCTGCAATCCGATCTTCTCCCAGCTGAGGACCTTTTCTATAGTTTATCCTGCATGTTTTCAACACTGAGGCCCCAGAAACATATGCAGCTATTTTAGGAGCAGGCATGTGTAGGGGCGGGCAAGGGAAACTTAACTGGCAGAAATGGGGTGGCTGGGGGGGGGGGGCTTTTTGAATCATTATTTGAGACAGGATGACAGAGGAGAAACAAGGGGAAACACTTGTCAGGTCCATATACGCTGCAGAATCTTAAATTTAAGTACAGAATTCCTGCCTATATTACTTGCCAACTTAATTCACATCAAAAGAGTAAGTCGGATTAAATGTAGCAAGCCCCTATTCAATCTTTTTTGTGACACTGGGTTTGTGTATAGCAAGAATGAAAATCACATGTCTCTCCAGATGTTGGTGCATTGCAAGTTCCAGCAATACTAGCCAGTCAATAGAAAGGAATGCTAGGCATTGCAATCCAATAGTATCTAGACAGCTACATGATTCCCATCTCTGGTTCAGCGAATTCACAAACTCCTCCCTTTTGATATAAACATTAAAAAGTACTTTAATGGTGCTATCAATTCGCATATCTATATATCTGATATCACTGCATTTTTCAAGGAAACTCCTAAAGGAGAATGACTCTGTTGTTATCATCCCATACAATATGATCTGCTACTGCAATGAGCCAGAGTATGTAGGTATTTGCTGGTACAGAATATTGCAGCACTTTGTTATTCAGTATAATGTACAGCTAGTGAAAAGCCAGGGCTAAGTTCTAAAACTCCAAATAATGCCTCCATCTCTCCCTCTGTTCTTATCCTTCCTGCCCACCCTCAAACTGCTTTTTGTAAAGGCAATTTTTGCTACAGCTTTCTTCACAACAAGCAATTCTGTTCCCAGTGCACACACTGGCTATGGGTAAATTCAAACCTCTGATAGGTCTCCCCTATCCTGCCCAGAGTACTACTACACTGTTGTTTTTTTTAAAAAAACAAAACAACAACAACATACAACCTTTCTTTAAATACCGACAATAAAAAGCAACAGTACAGGGAAAAGTCAACATAATAAAGGTGCAATACTTTATAAACAAAAGAAGTCTTTGCTAGTTATATGCCTGCCTAAGCAAAACCTAAGCAAGACATACACAGGAAAATACAGAGAAAAAATGCTCAAAAGTACACACTGGTTTAAGAACATTCGTAAGTAAACGTTTCTGTCAGTGATGGTCTGGTGCTGTAATACACCTAGGCCTGGCACAGGTAACGCTCACCATGGACAAAAGGAGAACGAAGGTTGCTGCATGTGCTTTCACAACACGAGACAGGCCAGCAAACTACTGACATTTAGTTTTGTCACAAACAGCAGATTGCTTTAGAAAGTACAGTTAGGCCCAAATTGTTGGTGGGTCTTTCATGAATAAGTATCTTCATATACACACTTGAGAAAGAAGTACAGGACTCAATTCTTAAGGACTGCAGAAGTTTCAACCATTACATAGGTCATAGTCACACATAAATGTGATGGCCTTTGCCTTCTGTCATCCTCAAAAGGTAAAAGGCCTTGTCATAAAAAAAAAGCTTGGGTTCATTCAAAAAATCTCCCTAGAGACAAATACGCCTCTAAGCAAAACAGAAACCCAACCCCCAAAGTCTGAAGTCCCATACTGGCACCCCTCACACCAAATCCTTAGGATATGGCAGTGTTTTGCTTTATGACAGGGTCAGAACAAGATCTGTACTGAACTGAATACCCTGATAAAATAAAAATACCACCAACTGATAGGTTTTAACACAGGTCAATTTGATTTTTTATCAGTCACAGGCACCATCATTATTTATTTTAAGAGTCTAGTCAGATAGGTTGCTGACCAATAGCAATGCAGCCTTCCAAGACAGAAATGCGCACGCGCATACACACAATCATGCACACATATGCACTCACACTGAAACACACACACATGGGCAGTTACATGTGCCAGAACATACTGGTATATATCAACCAGCCAATCACAAAGTGTTTTTTTTCCTTTTTTGTTTTTTAAAGTGAGGCTCCGTCAAGTCTTTCCCTCCCCTCCCCCCATTCTTTTGAACCCACCCCTTCCCAACATAGTAGACCTAAGGACGGAAACACACCCAGTGCAAACAAAGTTAAAAAGCTATTTTTCAGTATATATGTTTCTTAGCAACAACTTCCATATAACATGAAAAAGTGAAAAACTAGAAACTAATTTTTTTTAAATTTTTTGTGTTTAGATTTAAATGGTATGTGTACTTGCTTCACATTGTCTTTCTAAGTTGGCGTTCATGATTCAAGTATTTCAAGAGTGATATGTTCTCTTTTTGGATTCATATTCCAAACAAAAAAACTGAAGTTATAAGGGAGGCAACTATGTGCTCAGACAGTCCTGTCAATGACCCACCTTTTTTTCTCTCTCCATTTTCTTTTTTCCTTTTAAAATGTATTTATTGCAAGTTGAAAAAAAAGAAAAGGTCAAGTTAGTGCTGCTGCTGTTCCAAAAAAAGGTCACGAGGTCAGAGTTGAAAGTTTTAAGTTCAGATTGAATCCGACCCTCCACCTAGAAGGTCTCCAGGTAGTAAGGGAGCAGGGCTTCCCATCCTGTGGGGATCTTCAACACTCTGAACCCCCCATAAACTTGAAGAATAATTCGGGGGGCCCCACAATGAAGCACCAGCAAGGTCACCCCCACTGCTGCCGCCGCCACCGCTGCTCCATTGCCCAAGCCCTGTTGACCCACCAAAAAGATTCAAAGCAGGTCCCACTGGATCTGTCTGATTCTGTCCTGTCTCTAGAGACTGCCAGCCTGCTGCAGGTGTGCTGGGTGTTGCTGCAGGTGGAGGCTGGGCTTGTGCCAGAAAGCGACTAACCTCCTCGTCTGTGGCAAACTCAGCCAGGATGGTAGTGTTTCCCAAAACACACCTAAAACAACACATACAGACAAACAAAAACAAAAAGGGGCCAATAGTGAGGAGAAAGAGAGGTCAACAGTAACAACAAAGTAACATAACCAGAATTCACAATTTGAACATTTCATATTCCTTTATTTTACCTTAACTGTAATCATTTACTGGAAGCATTCTTTTTTGTTTAAAAAATCAATTTAATTTCTTGGGAGTATTTTTCAAAAAAATTCTATCGTAAATGCTAGTACGTGAAATACTTGACACTTGGGAATATAAGAAAAACTCACAATGGGAATGTTGCAAGTGAGATTTCAAATATTTGTTTGGAAATTATTCCATATTCTGAAGTTGCAATTCATAGCCTACCTCATGACAGCTTTACAAAAGAGAAGAGTAGGGCAAGTGTCCAGTGGGATGAAATGTAACCATGTTTTGCTTGTACTAACATGAAACAAAAAATCAGATTGCTTCCAAAGTAAGCTTGTATACCACCTGCAGAGAATATACTACCCATAATTTAGTGTTCAGAAAATACAGGATATTTCAGGTTTCCCTATCTCCTATCTTACTGGAAGCTTTTAATTTCTTTGTGTCATGTATAAAATAAGGGAAGAAGCAAATCTAAGGCTTTCTGTGATTAATTCAAATAGTGATAAATCATATTTTGCCATTTAAAATACAGTCTAAATCAAAGCTATTGTTCAAAGTATCTCTCTTCATTTCTAATCTTTATATAGTTTTGTGTGTGCATGTGCCTACAAGTTGCCTGTCAATTTACAGTGAACACATTAATTTATTATGGTTTCTGAAGACAAGGATTATTCAGGACTTCTTTTGCCAGTTCTGTCTTCTGAAATATAGTCTACAGAACTTGGCATACATACGAGGTATTCGCTCTTAGTACTAACTAGGGGTGGCCCTGCTTAGTTTACAAGATCAGATGAAATCTAGGGCCTTTAGGATATTTAGGCCTTTTCTAAAGTTACACTTCAACCTTAATAAAGAGCTAGAACCCAGGAGTTGAATGTCTTAATCAGAATACAACTGAAAGTACTTTCTCTATTCATGTAAAAACAGTTTGCATTAAAATATTTTAAATTAAATGAAAATTACAAAAACCCTTTCCTGAATACACTGGTTTGGCTTTATTAGCAAAATAATTTTTATTTGCTCTTTTAGTTTGCCTAACTGGTAGAATGTCACAAAATGGACTTTGCCTAGAGTTCAGAAGAGTTCACTTAAATAAGAGAGTAAAGTACTATCTTGTATTTCTGTTGAAACTGGAATGAATATATGTAGCCTAGTTACCTATTTACAAAAGTGGCCAAGCAGTGGCTATTGCCGAGACAGGCAAATAGGTGTGAGCAACTGCAGTGGGCATCTGGGGACCAATTTTATGCCTTGGTATGATGTTAAAGCCAAAAATACCTATCTGATAACAGTAACAAAATCAAAATGGCTGGAGATTCACTCCTGGGTTTGAAAATTTCTGCTGCTAAATGGTAAAAAGTGTGTGTGTTTGTGTGGGGCTATTGAAAATGGTAAATGGCCATTCCTGGAGGCTTTGAATTAATGCAATTTGGGAGCGAGTACCCCCCTATTTGTTGATATACCACATCACTGTGGTGTTGTCAGTGCAGACTTGGAACCATGGCTCTCATAAAGACGTCCTGAAACGCCTTGAGCCCCTTGAAGAGTGCTAGGAGCTCCAGGAAGTTCATATGGTGCTGAGACTCGAGATCGGTCCAGTGACCATATGTATTGCTAGTTTTCCGGAGAAGGCTCTGGAAGGCTCCCAAGCACTGAGACATCAGTTGTAATTGTCTTGGATGGTCCCACTGGGTGGAATGGTATTCCAGAACAGACTCTGGAGTGATGTAGCCACCAGTGTAGGGACTGGTGGATGTCTAGTGGAAGGCAGAACATGAATCCTGTTTGTGTGGGTCGCATACCCTGAGAAACCACGCCTGCAGTGTCCTCATCCTGAGGCGGGCAAAAGGTGTGACTGCTGTCGTGGTGGCCATGTGTCCAAGGATGGTCTGTATTTGCATAGCCGATGAAGGGGGGTAATGAAGAGCCCCTAGGACCAATGCACACAGAGCTCAAAAACGGTCCTCTGGTAGCCGTGCCATGCCAGCGACAGAGCCTATAAAGGTGCCAATGAATCACACCTCCACAAGTTTCCCTCCACAGGTCACACACTTTTTAGAAACCTGCCCTGACTTACTGAGGAAGTCTAAGAGAGAAAAAATACTGTGGGGAAAATATATTGCAGAGGTTCCTAAATGCTGCTGCTACCCGCTGGAAAAAAAATGGAACTATGGCTTCATCCCCACCCAGAGTATATATACCCTCTGGGGAGGGTGGGTGAGGCCATAGCCTAAAGTTGAAACATCTGTTAATGTTTCTGACACTGCAGCACACGTGCACTTAACTACCATATGCACGATTTCACAGAGACCACATGGGAGAAACATGGGGATTGCCTGTACAACTGAATTGGGAAAGAAATAAGCTAATAGTTCTTGTACTGATAGAATCTATGCTGAATTTTATTTACTTGGCAAAACAGTCTTAAAAAGAAATTGCCCAGTGTAAATCGAATCTGAACAGACAAAATAAACACTTTCTCTGCAGAAGGTTTGTCATCTACTGACATAATGAACTTGTGAATAGCTGGGGAGGCTGCTGGCATAACTCACATGTGCAGTGCAGTCTGGGCCTTGGCTGCCTCCTGCTTGGTGCTGTATCGGATAAGGGCGGTGCCTTGGGTCAGGTTCAGATGGAATGTCAGCAGTGGACCATGCTGCATGCAGATAGTCCTCAAAGTTGACCCATCAATCTTGGAATGAACAGCAAAGACAAACAACATTTTCAATGAAATGAAATATCAGCACCATAACCACAATGCAGTCATAAAACTAGCAACAAAATGGACAACTTGTTAGCCACACCCTTTTCTCAAACAGCAATGTCCATTTGCGACTTAAGCCTTGGCGCTGTGCAGTAACAAGCAGCTGTTCAAGTGTAAGCTCCTCATTCTTAGACAGGAGTACTACCAATAATGTGGCATAAGGCCTCAAAGCACAACATTATTAATCTTAGGAAATGTGCACTAGAAGTAGAACAGTATCACCACCAGCAATTAATTCAAGTGGTAAGTCTTTACACGCCTAAAACACTGTCGCCTTAAATTAAGGTTGATGTATCAGCATGGACCCTCACGTTTTGTTGAACTGCAAAAAATATTTCAGGGGATAAATGTGCAGCTTTAAAGCAGTCCAACAAGGTCAATTCACTGCAAGTTGATAGCCATATACAATAAAAGGGGGCTATCAGGCTTAGGGAAAACCTTTGAAGGGAAAACAAAATAGTATTTTTAATAATAAACATTGACTAGGGAAAAGGTATGATTGTTACACTCTCCTCTGCTTCAGAAACCTTTCTTTGACACTTTTCAGGTTATTCTAAAGGAGTAGGCTTTCTTTTTAAGACAGAAATTAACAGCTCTCTTGTTGATGATTTTGATACCATTACCATGAAATGACTCAGAGAAGTCTATCTGTGGAGTGGCATCTGTGGCAAAGCAAATGTCCCTTTTTCTTGATAAAAATATAAATATTAGAAAATAAATATCAATTGTCTGTAAGTAAAGTTATACTATTTAATTATTTTTAAAAATCAGGTTAAGTGTAGAGATAAAGTGTAAAGACAAATGAATATATTAAGCACCAACTAAGCAAAGCTCAAAGATATATACTGTTAAAACAATTATTTCATTTTTTTCAGTGACCTCACAGGAAGCCATTACGCAGTAACTCCTTCCGTTTATTAACTAACTCCTGTTTTTCAGTGACAGCTGAATCATTCTGTTATTCATTAATGCCTTTTTTTCATCTCAGCTGACTCAAAGTTCCATTTGCTTTTAATGATTTAGCTTTTAAACTGAAAAATGCTATATATGAGGTGGTGCAATGTACTACTTTGGCTGGATAGAAAGAAATGGAAACCACAAAACTCCTGTAGTTGGAGGCTCATTTTAACTGTGATTCTCCTCTATTGAAATTGCAATAAATTGGGATTCAAAAGAAATATTATTAATTCAGACAATGAGGCACAATTAAGTGCTGGAACAGTTTTCCTAGTATGTATTGCTGGCAGAAGCACTGGAAACATTCTGTGGTTTCTCTATGGAGATGAAGGGGAATTGACAATTCTGTCTAGCCCTTACAATGTCCTGAAGAAGCTGGAACCGTGCAAACCATGTAAAAATTATTTTTAGCATTAAAAGAATCACTCATTTACCTAAGCAAACAAGCATTAAAATCAATTCACAAAACAAGATCAAATTATGGTGTAAAATAAAATGAAGTCGAACACTGGTTTACAACACATTACACTTAAAGAATTATCACATTAATTTTGTTACTATTGAGAGAAACTGAACTGCAATGCAAGAACATATATTGAAACAACCATTCAAAGCTTAAAGTTTCAGTAATGACCAGGGAGTGAAAATCAGAAATACCTGTGGAGTGAGATTATGAAGAACCAGCCAATAGCTGGCACGAACGGAACCACCATCACTCCAAGTAGAGGCTACAAATGATAAAAACAGCATACATTTTGGTCAGATTGATGTAAAAACAACATTAAATACAACAATTTGTTGTAAGCTGATTTATAGCTACATGGACTGTTGTTTCTTTCTTCTAGTATATTTGTATTGTTTTTAGTCAGTTTTTTTAGTTTAATATTGTATTTTAATTTATTGTAATTAGCAACCATTAATTCCAAGTTTTGGTTCTCTTCCTTTCACAGCATTTTTCCTCCTAACTATTTCTTCCAATCCCCCCCGTGCTCTCAAGCAAAAGCCTGAAAGAGCCAGCAAGAGTGGGGGAAGCTTGGGGAATGAAGAGAAACAGATAATAGATATTTAAAAGGAGATGTGTTTTTTTAAACATAAGGATGTTCTGGTTAGGAAAGAAATAGGTTGGAAGGTTTAAAGATAAATAAAAGGAATAAGACAAAAATAAGGAATAAGACTGCTTAGCTGGGTACAGTTAGCTGCTGTAGAAGCATAGACAAGAATCAAGACTGGGCATTTGGGGATTGGCTCTCCCAATGCAGAGGCTGGATGGTTTTTGTTCTTTTCCCCCTAATCTCCAGTCTAGGGGAGCAAGTGGGAGAAAAGGCGCAAACATACAGTGGGGAAAAAGTATTTAGTCAGATACCGATTGTACAAGTTCTCCCACTTAAAAAGATGAGAGAGGCCTGTAACTGACGTCATAGGTAGACCTCACTTATGAGAGACAACATGAGAAAACACATCCAGAAAATCACATTGTCTGATTTTTAATGAATTTATTTGCAAATTATGGTGGAAAATAAGTATTTGGTCACCTACAAACAAGCAAGATTTCTGGGTCTCACAGACTCCTCTGTCCTCCACTCATTACCTGTAGTAATGGCACCTATTTGAACTTGTTATCAGTATAAAATACACCTGTCCACAACGTCAAGTAGTCACACTCCAAACTCCACTATGGTGAAGGCCAAAGAGCTGTCGAAGGACACCAGAAACAAAATTGTCACCCTGCACCAGACTGGGAAGACTAAATCTGCAATAGGCAAGGAGCTTGGTGAGAAGAAATCAACTGTGGGAGCAATAATTAGAAAATGGAAGAGATACAAGACCACTGATAATCTCCCTCGATCTGGGGCTCCACGCAAGATTTCACCCCATGGGGTCAAAATGATCACAAGAACGGTGAGCAAAAATCCCAGAACCACACTGGGGAACCTAGTGAATGACCTGCAGAGAGCTGGGACCAACATAACCAAGGCTACCATCAGTAACAATCTACCCTGCCAGGGACTCAGATCCTGCAGTGCCAGATGTGTCCTCCTGCTTTAGCCAGTACATGTCCGGGGCCGACTGAAGTTTGCTAGAGCGCATTTGGATGATCCAGAAGAGTATTGGGAGAATGCCATCTGGTCAGATGAAACCAAAGGAGAACTGTTTAGCAGAAACACAACTCATCGTGTTTGGAGGAGAAAGCACGCTGAGTTGAATCCAAAGAACACCATACCTACTGTGAAGCATGGGGGTGGCAACATCATGCTTTGGGGTTGCTTTTCTGCAAAGGGACCACGGTTAACTGATCCATATACATGAAAAAAATGAATGGGGCCATGTATCGTGAAATTTTGAGTGCAACCCTCCTTCCATCAGCAGGGGCACTGAAGACGAAACATGGCTGGGTCTTTCAGCATGACAATGATCCCGAGCATACCGCCAGGGCAACAATGGAGTGGCTTCGTAAGAAGAATTTCAAGGCTCCAGATCTTAACCCCTATAGAAAACCTTTGGAGGGAGTTGAAAGCCAGCGACAGCCCCAAAACATGATGCCCTGTCCACAACCTCAGCGACAGCCCCAAAACATCACCGCTCTTGAGGAGATCTGCATGGAGGAATGAGCCAACATACCAGCAACAGTGTGTGCCAACTTTGTGAGGACTTACAGAAAACGTTTGACCTCTGTAATTGCCAATAATGGATATATAACGAAGTATTGAGATGAACTTTTGTTATGGACCAAATACTTATTTTCCATCATAATTTGCAAATAAATTCATTAAAAATCAGACAATGTGATTTTCTGGATGTGTTTTCTCGTGTTGTCTCTCATAATTGAGGTCTACCTATGATGCCAATTACAGGCCTCTCTCATCTTTTTAAGTGGAATAACTTGTTCAATTGGTATCTGACTAAATACTTTTTTCCCCACTGTATAGGATGTCAACTCCTCATGTGATGGGAAAAAACAACCAACCCTACCAAACAACCAATTTCAGCTCACACTCTATGGAGAAAGTTCATGATCCTGCAGATGCTACCATTCAGAGGAAACAGTGCTTTCATCTATGTGACTGAAGTTCATGGCTGGGGAAACCATCAAGACCTTATTACATAGTTGTACTAAATACTAAACAGAGACAGAACCCATGTGTGTAACTACAGAGGTCATAGAATCATAGAGTTGGAAGAGAATGCATGGGCCATCCAGTCCAACCCCCTGCCAAGAAGCAGGAAAATCACATTCAAAGCATTCCCAACAGATGGCCATCCCGCCTCTATTTAAAAGCCTCCAAAGAAGGAGCCTCCACCACACTCCGGGCCAGGGAGTTCCACTGCTGAACAGCTCCCACAGTTAGGAAGTTCTTATAATGATGATGATGATGATAAAACTTTATTTATATACCGCTCTATCTCCCCTAGGGGACCCAGGGCGGTTTCCAAATAGCAAAACACCAACATATAGAGTACGCAAAACATAAGCATAGAATTATCAAAACAACAAATTTACGTTAAAATCCAATCCCACCCAAATCTTTCAAATATTCAGATGGAATCTCCTTTCCTGTAGTTTGAAGCCATTGTTCTGCGTCCTAGTCTCCAGGGCAGCAGAAAACTTGCTTACTCCCTCCTCCCTATGACTTCCCCTCACATATTTATACATGATCATGAAATACAACACAATCTTTTTCAGATCTACTGCCTTCATATCCTAAATTACCAAACATATGTTTTAGACACTTTCAAGGACATTTTATGATAACACAAGTATTTTGGGGTTTCTTCTCACTCTACTTCCCCAGCAGTTTTGAAGAACCACTCTAGATAACTGTCAAACCTTTTTAAAGAGAAAGTTTTTTTTCTGTGCATTCTGCAGATATCACCATCTTTTAACTGAAGGATTTTCATATATAGACTATCAATGTTGCAGTCTGTATACTTTAATATAAAGACTACCCAAAAAAGGAACGCACCAGAGGCAAGCCTTGACTCCTGTGCCCCCCACGCCCTGAGTGAGCGGGGTGCTGTGCTGCTCCAGGGAGAGGATGGTTTGGGATTACTCAGACCAGGTGGTGGGCGGGGCAGCCCTGTAGTGTTTCTTGAGGAAATATGGTTTTTCCACATCTTGTTGGAGAGATGAGCAGGATTAGGTCCTATGGGATCCGGGGACCACGTTGATTTGTAATCATTGAACTTTGCTATACCAAAGACATGAAAAAGACAATAGTTAACACACAATAAATGATAGATTCTACCAACAGTATCAAGCACCACATATATCTGGGACATCTATTACTAAATTGTTCTGAAATCTCTACACCCAGGAAGGTTTAATGCCTGTTAATTACTTATGTTATAGTTTTTCTAAGCAGTAACACTCAAAGTGAATTTTGGTTAAGGCAAGTTCAAAAGAACTGATCATTATGTCTCCTTTCAAAAAGCAATGGTTTTTTCAGGTGATTATCCACAAAAGGTATGCATTTAATGTATATATTGTTGTACATCTTCAAGTCATTTTGGACTTACAGTCACCATATTATGGAGGTTTTTTGGCATGATTTGAAGAGATACGCAATGGAAACATACCTGAAGTGCTATGAACATTTGCGAAGGAATTGTCAGAGGCACTATAGGGCCAGGCACCAGGTGAAGGCAGCGAGGTGTTGAGGGAAGAATTAGACCCTGTGAGAAATAAGAAAGGTAAAGTAAACATTCCAGATATTAACAGGAAACTATGATGACAGTTTTAAAACGGGATATAAATGCTTTTATGAAGTACACCAAAATGGTGCAAAAATGTATGATTAGTTCCTGGCACTAATCAGGGGTGTGGACTTTTGCAGGTGGAACTGGTCAAGTGACAATGGAGTACTCAATCATTTACTTTGCCACTGTCTTTTCCACATATAAACATCACTGAGAGAAAAAGAACAAAGAAAGCAGAAGAGGTTTTATAGAAAAATTAAGCCTCATCTATCCTGCTAGAAATTGAACAATATAACAATTCAATGGAAGAATAGAAAGAGGAGGAGAGAAGCGATAGTGAGGGCAGTAACAGAAGCTGCAACCAACAAACCTGTGGTGTTGTCCCGCAGAAGTTGATGATCAGTATCTACTATGGGGGATGTGGCTGTACCCCCCAGCACACTTCCTGGGGTCACATAGGGGTCAGATTCAGGGTCAATGTTTGGAATACCTTTCCATGGCACCCCTGGCTGAAACTCTGAAACATAATAATCACCAGATAGTACTTCAAACAAAATTGTTCATCGCTTTATTTCACACCGTTGCATGTACTTTCCAGGTTAGGATTATAGTCAAGCCAATTCTAAATTAGCAGTGGGTCTGCTTACAACAGGCAAGTTAAACTGCAGGTGCCTTTAGAATTATTTACTGAGCATATATGAAAAGCAAAAGATGGTTTGTGTTAAAGATGGCATTTGGCAGCCACAGAAACAGTAATCTGCAAAATCCATAAATGCTTAGCTCACATATGTGGATCACTAGAAAGTTAATTTAGGCTTTTGATGCCTTACTTATCTAAAACTAGAACAGAACTTGGATCAGTATTTCAGGCATCTTGCTGTAGTTTTGAATGAAGTTGTCTAATAGAGCTAGATGCTGACAATGCAATATGGCCGTTAGGTTTTGAAAAGAAATTATGACTCATAGTGTTCATACTTTACAAACAATTCTGTTTAGTAAATGTCCATTTAAATTAAATTATATTCCTGCACTTTGAAGACTTGACAGCTCACGTAAATTATGTGAGCCTTTACATCCCTAAAGACAACTACTGCCATCTGTCACTGAACAGAATAAAGATGTCACTTCTGTTATACCGCAATGTGCACCCTGCAGGTATTGATTTTTTAAAAATATGTACAGACCGCTTAGTTAATGCCTATGCTTAATTATTAAATATTTTATTCTGCATAAAGTCATTGCAAACTAATGGAACTTTATGACTTTTTGGGTTATTTTTCTTTTGATGGATTTCTGAACATGCAAGAAAAACTCCTCCCTAATACATGTAGTTTTATCACCCTGCGATCTCAAATATGCAAATAGCGAAAGAATAATGAAAAAACATTTTCCTTGGAATATGGTATGCAGAAAGGTTATTATATGAGAATTTCTCTCTCCCGCCCTCCCGAGATGACTATGAACAATCTATGAATAGTACAAATACAACAGAAACTACAATTACCTGGAGGCCAGCTGGCATTGCTGGATTTGCTTCCAATTTTACTTGTTGGTGGAGATTTGGCAGGTAACCAACCATCACCAGCAGGGCCTGTGTGGCTGCCCAGTGGGTCGCCTGGGATTATATCAAATTGGTTATAGGGCGACCCTCCTCGGGCTTTTCCAGGGGGCACAATTGTCCCTAGAGGAAAAAAAATACATACATTGGTAAGAAACACAATCAGGGTTGTGGCTGAGATAGGGTTCAAAATCCAGGTGAAAGTGAAACCACAAATCATATCTGACACATAGCAATAATAAGTTACTAGTGTGTCAGAAAACAGAATATGAGAAAGAAAAACAAATACAAATTAATACATTTGGGAGAACTTAAAGGGAAAAATTTTTTTGCTTCAGAAACTAAGCCTACCAAAAATAGGAGATGCGTTAAAAATCTCCCACTTAATAAAGTTAGTATGTTAAAGGAGAATGAGATCATGCTTAGCAAGGGAAATCTCTCACCATTTTTGTGCATATTGGCATCTTGGGAAGCTACAGGTGGCAGCCCATCCATCATAGAAGTCCATTGTTTAAAGCGAGATTCTGATCCAGTCTCTTTCCCTCCTACCATGCCATAATCCATGCCACTTGAACCGAAACCTGTGAAAGTACAACACACACACACAACATAATTTGGGTTCATTTTAAATGTTACAGAAATGAAACAAATTTAGTGAATTAATCAAATTAAATGAAAAAGAAAACAAGCTTTGGACTGTTTGGATCCTAAGTTTTGTGAACTGCTGCTGTTAACGTCTTTACTACTGGAAGCACATAAATATTTCAGTCACAACACCTTTTAATTCTGTGGTGAAGCTGTGTTTTTATAATTACTGCACTTGATTCAGAATATCAATGGGAAACATGGAATCTATTTTATACTTGGAAACTGTTAAATAAAATGTTAGGAACAAGTGGATGATTGTAGACAAAGACACAGATCTATCCTGGATCATGACTTGTGGATATCAGAGGGCCGCTTATATACTCGGTTTATACTGCTGTATGGGTAAACTGCATGGGAAGAACTGATGCTGTGTTTCTATTCAGCAATATAAATGACATAAACTACAAGTCTAGTGTTTGAGTTTAGTGCAAAAATTCTTGGTGCACAAGAAATATAGCAGATATATAGCCATTTTCAGTACTTACCTGAACCATATCCAGGAATTTGCCCTTTGGTTGAGATATCTGAGAGACCCACATTTAGACCCCCAGACACTATAGTGTCTATATGTGGCTTAGGCCCAACCGGATGTGATGGGGAATGTTTCATGCCAGGTTGCCTCTGCTGTTGCTGAAAGGCACTCACCATACGGGCAAGCTGCTGTTTAGGGGCAGGGGGAGGGGGGAGACACAAGAAAAAAGGCACAGGTTGGCTTGGAACAAAACTGGGATTCTTTTCTAAAAACCATGCTATTCTACAGGAAGTAGACACAGGCGGTCTACCTATAATTGTGGTTCTTCATCATGATCATTGGTGAACTTATTCATATGGGGATCTCTGCAACCGCCAGACCGTATTTGGAAACTCTGCAAGCCCAGAGATTCCGATATGTGTAAGTCATAGAGACCATGAAGAAAAAGGAAACTTTAATAGCATCTTCTAAATACAAAGAGAGGTGTAAATGCACATAGTGTACACCCTTTACTTTTGAAATATTATACCTGTTGCTCTTGCTGTTGTCGTACAGCTTGGGAAATCTTTCTCTGATTTTGTAACAGTTGCTGCTGCTGCTGCTGCTGCTGCTGCTGCTGGAGGAGGAGCTGACATGCCTGCAAGGTAAATGAAGAACAAGAAACTTCTTTGCAATGACTATAATTACAATTAACTACTAGCAAAGAGACACTGTTTTAGCAGATAACAACAGCACCTTTTCTGCAAATAAAAAAAACCCCAAAATTACCATGAAATTTTTTTGCTTACTTGTAACTGTGATTCTTTAAGGTGTTGTCTGTGAACTAACATAACTGGGCCACTTACATTTTAACAGTGAAGTCTCGGAACCATTCAGAACTGTGTGAAAACTTTCTGCCAGCAACCTGGACCATTCTGTTACTGTATATATTTCAAGTGCTGCCTAATCAGTTCCATATATGCTGAATTGCTGTTAGCAGTTGTGTGAATTCAAAGATGATAATTTAAAGAGCTGTAGTTACACGTGACTGCTCTTTTTCTTCTGTCTTTTAAAGAATAGGAGATTAACGCATTACTCACTAGCAGAGGGAAACAGATCAAAGTGTTTTTGGTGGCTGCTCTCAGAATTTGGAACTCACTTCCACTGGAGACTAGGATGGCCCCATTCCTGCTGGCCTTTCATAAGCAAGCTAATACCTTTCTTTGTCATCAGGCATTTGGAGGAGGAGGAGGGGCACACCGCTGGGGAGGTTGTGGGTGGGAGTTGGGGAAGTATTTAATTTAAAATGTAATGTTAATTGTACGAATATTTTATTGTATCTTGGTGGTGGAGCAGGTTCAGCTTTTCATGTTAAGTTTATGCATAATTGAGATACCAAAGGGATAGAAAACATTCATCCCACCAATTTAATAAATGGCATGGGTGTGTATTTTCATTACATAATGTATCAATTTATCAATTACAAAACACAACATTTTCTCAGGCACATCAAATCTACAAAAATAACCACAGGAAGAAAATTTAATCTACACTGTAAAGAGTTGTTACTTACAAGCTGAAATTGAGGAATTTGTGGAAGTTGACTCAGCATAGCAATCTGTTGGGGAGAAAGTTGGGGACCCATGTTGAAAAGACCTGGATTCAAGCTACTGTTAGGAAATTGCTTGAGCATGGAGGCAGCAGACACCTTTAAAAACCAAACAAGAAAACATAATGCTTCAAAGCAAAGAACTGAGAATCTACAAGGATAACTGAAGACACAAATCTGCTGAAAAAACACATACTAAAGGCACATCAGAATCCTAATTACATTGTTGGAATAAAGGGTGGATGAGGCCATAATCACCATATACTTTTACAGCCTTTCTTCCTCTCATTCATACGACAACAGGCAAGACAGGGCGAAGGAGAAACTGTGAGATGCATTGGAGTTTGCCACTGGCCAGCAGTTTCTCTATCCATCATAATTTGGGTCAAAATATAAAGAAGTATTGTCACAAAAGTCCATTTCAAAAATTAGAATGAAGAATGTGACACAGAGCACAGGAAGTGCCTCACTCAATAAGATCAAATACCTATTTCTGTTATCACAGAGACTAACCAGGTGTCCATGGTATTCTGCCCTTAACTGCCTATGGGGAAATAGCAACCTACAGTTAGTTCAGCAGTATTCAGTAGCATGCTGCCACTGATAACTAGAAATAAATACATTTGATGAAATGGAGATTTTTATAAATACATTTGATGAAATTGAGATTTTTGTTTCATAGAAGTTAGAAATCATGTGCTAGCTTTTTGAATACATGAAATAAATTCAGTATTTTAATGGGGAAGAAGATTGCTATTTGTAATCTTACTATTTCAGTGGTTCATAATACTGTTTTGGCAAACAGATTTATTGGAGTGGAGGGCTGAAAGACACACACATGTGTGTGAGAATGAACCGGTAAAAATTAGGACACGTTCATTCTGTTTCCTCCACTATCTCTACATGTAGCTACCACAACTCTCTTTATACAGATGCACAAGTATTTACACCGTGTGAAATTCAATTAACCAATTAGTGAATGAAAAAAGAAAAAAAAAAGAAAAAAAACATTTCAACTTTAACTGTTGCTGTCAATGTTAACTGTACAATTCTCAAATTGTGGATTTCGTCAGAACAGGAAACGAGACATAAACTTTTATTTAAAGAACAGCCACCTCTCAAGTCACATTCTTGTCCATTTTTAGGATGAATTATACTGTGTAGCCATCACTACACATGGAACAGAACTTCTTTGTTGTTATAGACAGTTTAGTCCAGGCATGGGGAAACTTCGGCTCTCCAGGTGTTTTGGACTTAACTCCCACAATTCGGCTGTTAGGAATTATGGAAGCTGAAGTCCTAAACACCTGGAGGGCCGAAGCTTGCCCATGCCTGGTTTAGTCTGAAGCCCCTTCTAAATTGTCTTTCAATGGCAATGCGTATCAAATGAACATGTGTGTCACCATGTCCATTACAGTATACTTAGAGCAATGAGACATTTATAGCTGAACACAGTGGGTAACTCCTGGCTAAAATGGTAACACGCACTTCAAAGTGCCAACACAAATATTCTAAAGCACTTGGTCATGTTAGTTTACCAGTCTATTATTATAAGAATGTTTCTCACATGATTGAATTGCCATAATCACCTTCAACACATACATGGGCCTGGTGCAAAGGTGATTTATTTACTAGTCTGTATTTTTCATAATTTTAAAACATAGAGAGAACCATATGATTTATATGGTAAAGAGCTCTCTGCTTTTAATCTAAAGCAAGAATAATGCCACTGGCCTAGAAACTTTTTACTGTTCCATAGAGAAATGCCTTGGTACTAATGGGGGACCCAAAGCAGCCATGCCAGCAAGGATTTTTTTTTACTTTCATCAGCTTAGGAAAAAGTAAGCTTTTTGGGGTTTTGTTACTCATACCACATACCATTAATCAACTATGTTTTATCATGTAGGGGATTTGACCAGTAGCAACACTATATGTGTATCTAAAGATACTAAAATATATGATTTACACTGCACCTTCAACAATGATTACCTGGGGAGAAAGAAATTGGGGAGGCACTTGTGCCCGGATATTGGGAGAAGGATTCAGTGGTTGCACTGGTGGGTGCATTCCTCTCGATTGTGCTGTGCTGTTTCCAAACAGACCTTGATTGCCACCCTAAAAAACAAATAAACGAAACTGTGAGGATAACTGCTTACCTTAGCTGAAGCATGGACTTAATTTTATTACACACATATTCCAATTAACACCATTAGTGTTACATTATTTTAAAAGTGCCAATGGTAGTCACGGATATTTCAGTCCTGCTTGGCGTTTTGACTTCATTTTCTTGCTGAGAGATTCTATTTTATGCTATATTCATTTCCTTAAAAGCCAAAGACAACATGAAACCCAGACAAAGATATTTTTGCAGAGATCTAAAAATATTTAGTGATAACATTCAATTCAGGCCCAGGCTATTTGACAACTCGCATATCCTCCTATAAACCAGCTTCGACACTGTGGTCAGCGGATGAGGCTCTGCTCTCGGTCCTACCGCCATCTCAAGTACGGCTGGTGGGAACAAGAGAAAGGGCCTACTCCGTGATCACCCCTCAGCTCTGAAACTCCTTTCCTAAAGAAACAAAAATGGACCCCTCCCTTCTCTTCTTTAAAAAACAATTAAAAACCCATCTTTGCTCATTAGCATATAGAGAGGAGGATTAGATGACTATATATAGCTAATATGCATCTGACCAGAAACTGCTATTGCACTCTGGCGCTGTTGGCTCTGTTGACACTACTGGTTACATAATTAATTTTAAATATTATTGTAACTGAACCATTGGTGGTTTTTTAAAATTGATGTTCATGTTTTCGTTTAGATATAATTTAATGGACAAGTCCTGTTATTATTTAATTCTAGGTTGTATGTTATAATTTGGTCTTAGATGTTGGTTTATTTTGAGATTTGGTTGGTTCGTTATTGTATGTGTATCTAAGGTTGTATCAAGGCATTGAATGTTTGCCCTTTTTGTTTGTTAGAATCTGCTCTGTGTCCCTTTGGGGAGATAGGGCGGAATATAAATAAAGTTGCTGCTGCTGTTATTGTTATTATTATTGAGGAGAAATGACTCATTTTCACAATGTATCCAATATGCTCATTCACCAATAGTTATGAAGTGTCTTGGGAAAGTGAATGTAGAAAGACAGCCATGAGGAATTTGTAAGAAGCCAAAGTGACAGACATAAGAAATATCCTGAATGACAAGAGACAGAGAAAGACTAACTGATGGGCTGCTGAATTTTACTTATTTTCATGTATTTACTTGAACATAACATATTTAAATTAAAAGGGGGAAGGGAGAAACAGCTGACCAGGATTAAGCATAGGGCGCAGCCAAGCAATAACATAACCAAGAATGTGATCTCTTACTTGTCTAGCAGCAAAGTTTGGGGGGTTGAGCCCTGAGCCGATTGCCCCAAGGCATACGTTGGGTAGTGTGGAACCAGAGGGAGACAGCTTGTAGTTGGGAGAAGGGGAGAAGGGAGAGCAGGGAGCCTCATCCCCAAGGCACCCATCTTGATTGGAGAAAGGCAAAGTCAGCTGAAGCAGTAGTTAGCCAATCAGCAGGAGTTGGTTAGTGAAGCAACAGAGTCCAAGAAGAGAAAGAGTGACCGTGAGTGACCACGAATATGCAAAACTGGTATGATTTCAACCATTAAAAGGACAAATTCCTAGGAACTGCACTACTTACTTCAAAGAGGTAACAGGAAAAATAATGTATAACCCTTTCCCACAGCTCATGCTATCCTGTGTAAGGAAGTGATTGTCACTGAAAAGTATGAAACTCTATTAAATACTGCACATTTTTGTTTCTCTGTAGGACTTACAACTAAATAACACACAAAGAAACTGAGTTAAACAGATCAGTGCAGCAAACGTGGGGTAGAAAGTGTTTTCTCTAAGCACTATCCAGAATGCCAAAATCTGTTTCTTGGCAATATAAAGTTCTTAGCTTCCACGCAGTACTTTATGAAAGCAGTGACAGCAATGCACACATTTTTTCCTCAAATGGGCAAACCAAGAGAATGTATGGGATAATATTTTGTCATTAAAACATATTTGAAAACCAAGCAAATAGATCTAAACCAATCTAGATCTTCGGATTATTTTCCATTTCATAAATTAACATTCACACCAATCTTCTGGGAATAACAACAGGCTGTAAAGTCTATATGAAATGTTGAAAATCCTTGCTCACTGATCAGTAGAGGGGAAGAAACAGAGAAAGACGGTACAGTGATAATGAGGAAGTGTTCGATGAAGATCAGTTGTTTCTGTTATCAGAATAATGCTGTCTGCTCAGGATGATACCATTCTTTATTACTTAGATTAGAACAAGGGCAAAGTAAAGATACATCAGGACTGTTTTACATGTAGCTTCCTTTTCATGGAAGTGAATTCATGGAGTCCATGTGTGAAGTACCAGCTACAAAGAAAAAGTTGCCCCTTTTCGTTCTAAAAAGACATGGATGTGGGATGTGCAGAAAGTATACAAGGACTCAGAGCGAAAATTCCACTGAATGAACTCATTTACTCAGTGATCACCTTCACCTTCTGATCCTGAAAGCTCTTCACTTTAGGACTACATACACCTGTTTCCTTGTCCATCTCAAGGTGTCTTATAAAGTCCAATATGTTTGTGCACTAGAATCAGGTCATGGACTAACCAGTATCTTCTGGTTTCATCAGATTACTGATTATATCTTTTGCCTCCTGCACTCTGCCTTCTTTGGAGGTAGCACTTAACAACTTCTTTTGAAGCTTTTTTCACTATACACATAAAATACAGAGAATAAATAGTGGTATTCTCTGGCATTCTACAAGAGGTATGAACATGGGGAGGGTAACAAGAACTGCCACATCAGAAGAAATGCTAAATTACCTATTGTTAATAGCTGACAGTGCCTGATTAAATTTGAGACTATGCAGAATACAGACAAATATATCCCGCTATCTTATTTATGCGTTTAAATAACAATGACAACATCTAGGGAAAGAGTGAAATATGATGTATCATACGATTCAGAAGTGTCTTTAGAAATTGAAACTAAATGTTCCTTGTGAATAAAAGATTGAAGTACCTTTGAAAATAATGACTGAATCAGCAGTAACAGAGTCAGCAGCAAAACAGAAGTAAAGCAGCTAGATTAATCTGTGTTAGTATTGACTGCAGAAAATAAGGAAGAAGGAATGGTATCACACCCAGATACGTGATATTCATGAGAAAAAAAGTTTGAAAGAATTTGATGTCAAAGAAACAATTCTACAATAATTATTGCAGGAAATTGTCATGGTTCCCAAAACAGGTGTTGATTGGTGATCTGATAGGTCTAGAATGGAGGAAGGCATAAGTGCTTCTCATGATGAAGCGACAGATAACAACGTCGTATGCTCTTTAAGACTTCAAAAATACTGAACTCACCCAAGAATTAACATGTACGATTTTATAGCAATTAGGTCTACCACAGGTGGTAGAGACAAAATACAATCTGTGATTAGTTGGGCCTTTTTGGTAGTAAGGAACGTCAAGTCACATCTATCTTGTGATCTAAATCCCAGTAGCAATAGTGGGAGGAATATGATTGGGATTTACATGGGAATCATCTAGTGAGTGCAAACGGTAACTCAAATAGTCAGCATGCCATCAATATCTCTCCATCATGCAAGTCAATGAATATTAAGATTTACACTAAACACTGTGGACAGAAAAAGATACATGCACAGGTAAGATTCAAAATATTCTCAGAAAGACTCAAATCTCTGTAGTGATATTCATGAGAATAAAATTCAAGACTATGGTAGTAGAAAGCAGATGACTCCTAAAGATAGGAGTAGAAGGCATGATCCCATTGTTTACCTTTGACTATGTGGCACTAGAGGTCAAGGGAAACTATAGTGCACAGTAATGACAAAGAAACCCGTTTGATAGCCTAAAAATCAGCTGCTGGACATGCTCACACAAAACAATAAGTCAGAATTCTAACCAGAAACCACGTGCCAATGCTTGCAATTCTTTCTCTTCCTTGTGGCTCATTCTGCCAGCAAGAGAATCTGAACTAACCATAAGGTAGAATTCTAGAGGATTTTGGTGTTGTTTTTTTTTCACACACTGCATTTTGGTAATTGCAAGCCTTTCATTCCCATTTAGACCATCCTACCAATAGGAGGTGTAGAGCTATAGAGGAATGAAAAACTTAATCTGTTCAAACCTGGAGACTAACTTGTTGTTTTCAGAAGAAACAGATATATGCATTTCTTGGCTGTTCACCGAAGCCTTTCAAGCCTTATAAATTCAATGCAAGCCTTAATTATAGTTTTTAAAACTTTAAAATCTGTTTTATCTCACTGCATTGTTTTATATGTTTGTAGCTTAGAATTAAAAGAGGTTAAAACAGTAAGAGGATATCAGTAAAATTAGTGTATCTCAATAAATTAGGATACTCTTACGACTGAAAAGTCTGTTAGGATTTCCTCAATAGTATCTGATTAACTAGAATTAGATAAGTTGTCTGTTATACACACTGTTCTAGTCCAGTAGATGATACATGCTTGCACATTAAACCATATATTTTTCAAATTAGTAGCCTAAATCCAAAATCACGCCTGTGCTTCCAACCCTTTGGAACAGGTTTTTGAAATAGACAGCAGGTTGCAATAGAGGAAACATTATGTTCTCCAGATTCTACTGACAAAACCAGTTCTGCCAGCAAAATTACCTTGTTGGGTATTACAGTGTCATCACCTAAAGGATAATGGCCTCCAACTTTAACTTTCATTGAGTTTTGAACTCCACAGTTCAGGAAACAAAAACAAAACTCAAACACAATTTCCAACAAATTGCCTTTTTTGCATTTGTGAAATACGCACATTCTTTTTATGAGATAAATGGAAATAATCTGAGATGAGTTGTATGAGCAGGGCAGTTTGTCATGTAAAAGTCTTGTCATCTTGTCACTAGAGCCATATGACTGGAATGTTACAAGGCTACAGTCCCACAGTAAATATTTGATTATGTGCTGCAATTGTGTTATCTAGTCCTAAGTGTACTGCCTGTAAAATTGTTAAATCAAAAACAATAGCGGCATTTACTCAATCTGAAAAAAGAGCATTTCACAAGATATTTTTCACCATAAACAGAATACAATTTTATTTCATGCCTTTAATTTCTTATTTCTTAAAAACTAAGATTTTCATTCTGATTTATTTTCCCCTGTGGATTCAAATTTCAAAAGAGCAGAAACAAATTGTGAATCTGCTTTTCCGTAGTGAGAAAATTTCCGAAATGTCAAGACCAATGCTCTTTCAGAATAGTAACTACCACAAAAATATCCATAGGTTTGTTTCATTCTCCCGTTTACTCTTTCCTCATGAGTATTGCTTCCCCCATTCCTTTGATCAAATTACATTTTACATAGTTGAAAATGAAATGCAGTCAGAAAGCAGAGCCAATTTTCCAGGAGATGCTTACGAGGAAAATTTGTCTCACCTTTTCAAAATAAGGCCCACTATCTGGGGTTCCCATGTCTTTGGAATTTGGAGGACGAAAACCAGACCGGCCCTTTCTCATAATGTCATTGAAATCCCCAAGATTCATGCCTCGTTTGTCCACATCAAACTTCTTATCCTGGAGCCCACCTGAAGGAAAATGTGGGATCAGAAATATATGTGTAAATTGCTATATTTTTTACTCATACAAAACATTTCTCTTGACAATCTCAGAACCTGTGAATCAACTTCTGTTTCCTCCAACCTCTTATCATTTAATAGAAATTTGTTAATATTCTCCAAGGAGATAAAATTTTATTTGTGTTGTATTGGGAAGGGTTTTACTATGCTGTATGCATTCATACAGCACCTTAAAAGCATTTGCTTCATGTACTACAACTAACCAAAACAGCCCTTCTTTACCTGGAGAGTACATCTTTTATCTTGCCATTTTCTCAAGTAAGGTATGAACCTTTTGTCCCACCAAGGAGAAACTTAGTTCTCATAAAAAACATTTGTACAAGAATAGCTGTTTGAATCATGCACAAACTAAGCAACCAGATACAGTTGACTGTCCATATAAATGGCTTCTACACCCACGGATTCAACAAACTGTGAAATATTTGGAAAACATTACAAGCAAAACTTTGATTTTACTGCATGCCAAGCAATAAGCTGACGTATACGAATACTCTGCTGTAGCTTCCAGACATTTCACAAATCCTCAGGTTCTCTCCAGCACACATTTAAGTAGTTCACTATTTTATATAAGAGACATCATTTTGGTATGCATTGTATTTACAGTATGATCCCTTTACCTACCAGTATCTGCAGTTTCACCTACCCTAGATCATGGTCCACACTTACTTAAAATTTGTTAAGCAAAAAGGCTGACCTAATTCTGCTATGTATATCATAAACTATGTGAGATTTTGACCATACCTATAGGTAAGTCCATCTTATTGCCTGGAGTGTCCTCAGGTTGATTCTGTAAAGGAAAACACACAGTAATTCCTGAGGAACTAAACTCTATGTTGGGAAAGTTTTGGGGGAAAATGTCCAAGACAAAATTCAGAATTTGAAGAACATTTATTTGTGAGAATAATAACAAAAAAAAATGGAGTGCTAAACTTTGAGAAAGTTTATTTGAATGCTCTTCTTGGTAATTTGCCAAAAATATAGCCAGCAATATATGAACTACAGAAGAAGAGAATGATATCTGGACAGCTGCACTAGATACAAACTTCTGTTCTTATGTTTCCATGGTCAAGGAATTATATTTTGCAAAGAGCAGCCAGAATGTCACCTCATCCTTAAGAAACATCTAGTCTTGAAATGTGCTGCCAAGTAATTCTTCTGCTGGCAATTTAGGACAGAATGTTCCTGTAACTTTGGAAAGGTGAAACTGTCAAACTGAACATACTGGAGTTGTACTAAAACTACATGCTCATTACTACCAACTCCGGGTGAATATTACAGTCTACTTATAAGCATTATTGCGGCTTTACAGTATCTAATTTTCCCATCTCAGACTTTTGTTCTTCAGTACATCAAGCAATAGATTCTCCAAATAATAAAGTGAAACCATTTTCCATTCCTACACATTCACTGTAGTCCAAGCCTAGCCTATGGTCAGGAACAGTAATTTATATGGGAGGTAAAGCTTCAAACGGGTTCAAACTGCAACTGCATTCTAATGTTAATCTGTACCTCACATATAATCTCCACAGCTACAAGCCACTGCTTTCAGTTCAACTGCAGATATACTGAAGTAATGTATTTCCTTAAAAGGATTTTTACAATAGTCTCAAATCACAAACAGTCCTAACTGCTTAAATTACTTAAACTATTTACAAAAATTGAATTCTCATGTTCGGTTTGGAACATGCATTTCATCTTGTTCAATTCCAGTCTCATTTTTAAGGAAGCATGAATAGAACTGGACAATCTACTAATGGACAATCAGAAGTGTATCTATAACTGGAGGATGCTGCTGTTTGTGTTAATTGAGTATGCTTCTAGGGCAGTGGTTCCTGCCTGTAGCCTGAATCACCAGTGGTCCGCAAGAACTAAAATATGGTCTATGGCCTCACCGTTACTACACTGTTGCAACTAAAGCGACTGGTCTCATGAAACCCTCTTATAGTGCAAGACTTATTAAATATGTTTTCTGTGGGCAAGCAGATGGCGACTACTGGATAGCCTATGTTCTGTATCAGAAACTAGAGCTGATGTGGTCTATGCAAGGCAATTTTCTGAATCAGCACCCCGGTTCAAGTGGTCCCTGGTCAAAAAAAGATTGGGAACCACCGTTCTAGGGTTTACACTTGTTGAGTGTTTAGAAAAGACGAGATGACACAAGCTCTTGCCATAATCAGAAATGTTCATTTTGGGGGGAATGAGCTTTCAGATTACCTACAGTATGGCATAGCATGTGCCAAAAAAACACACCCTGGATTTGAAAAAAATCTATGGATTTATATATGCCACACAATTACAGCACTTTAATAACTTGCTAGCTATGGCACCATCAAATAGAACAGGATCTGTAGTCTGGTAGGATATTTTCAAGCCCTTTGCTGTTGGCTAGGGTACTACTATAAAGGTCTTTTGAAAAATTCAAACACATTCACCAAACTGCAAATCCTAGGATCCCACAGGATTGAGTCCTGACAGTTAAACTACTATGAAACTTCTATAACTGAGTAAGGATGCACCCTATGTTTCACATGAAGCAATAACATATACTCCCATTATTTACTCCTGCCTCAAATTCTTTCATGATCTTCTTGTTGTTTCTCTGTGAATGTTTCAAATGTGGAAGCTTCCTGGAATCATAGAATCATAGAAGGGGGATATTAAATTCATTCTTTGTGAAGAAGCAAATGAATCCAAGTTATATAGTGGTCTGAAAGAGAAGAAAACTTCCACTCGTTCAATTTACAGGGATTTCCCTTTCTGCTCACACCAGAAGCTCAGACAAGAAACTGTTTATAAGCCTGAAAGATACTGGAATAATAAAAGTATTTCTCAAAATCCTTACCAGCAATCCCATATTTGAAATTTGATCAGATAATGTATTCATCCAGGAATCATTACTTCCGCCTTTTAATGAACACTAAAAGCAAAAAGAAAATTAAGAATTTTCTGTTTCATTGTTGTCTGCAAAAACAAATCTTATAGTAGCTTAAAAACTAACACGTTCACTTCATGAGATGAAAAGTACATAGAATCAAATAGCAGTACACTGAAACTTGACTGCAGATGTTTGAATATAAAATAATGTACATAACATGGTGAATAATCTTGCTAGCAAGTTCCACACATCATACATTAATTCATGAATTAGAATTTGTTTCAAATTACTAACAGATGTCTATTTCTTGATGGAATCGAGTGCAGTAGTTCCCAAATGTTTTCCAATCTAAGCACTGATCTGACACAGCCCTCCTCAATTTTGCTTTATGCGCCTGTAAAGTGTACATGTGCAAAGAGCTATTATCTGCCAGTAGGTATATCATAGCCAATCACACAAGTAGAGAAAAGGTGAATTGTGGCAACCTTCATATTTTCTCGCTCTAGTGAATTACTTCCTGTGTAAAAAATTAATCAAATTCAAAGTGTGTTCAACTCACTTTCTTATTTTTTGTCTTAATTTACATACTAGTTTTGCAGTCTATATCAAATGTTCTATGCTATAGCTCAGGACTATTAACATAAGGAGGACCATTTAATAATTCTAATGGCAAAATCTTTATATCTGGAAAACTGTGGCATGTGCTGTATCCAATGGTAAACTAGTTGTTATAAATGTTACATTTCAATAGCATAATCAAGGCTTCTACATTGCTAACAACTAAGAGGACAGGTTCAGTGTATTCATTTATCTTGTGAAAGAAAACATCTTATAGGTATTTTTTCACCTTAATTTGTGGTTTTTTGCCACCTTGTACCCAGCTTGTTGAATTATGGGAGGAACTGCTTCCCTGAGAGCCTGCTGTATTCCAGACTCCTCCTTCTTCTTCCTCTTCCCAGCTGGAATGCCGTGTTGATACTGGCCCATCGTTATCCCCCCAGCCATCTTGTGTTGGTTTGGAACCTTTGAAAGGAATTTTAAATGTTTTGGAAAAGTATAACTATCAACAAATATAATTTAATGACACCATGTGACAAGATCAACCTATTGAAAAAAAAGTTCAACACACGCCTTCCACACGTGTTCAATAATATCCAGCAACCATAAGGCTGATCTAGCCTTCGGCGAAAATGAATTTTGACACCTCTGCTCGAAACAATCTATGGGGTACTCGGCTGCTCATCCTGAGTTATACACAATCCCATCCTATTTATGTTTACTTAGAATTAAACAGTGCTGTATATTCAAAATGAGTAAGTTTCAAGAAATGTATATAGAATTATGTGGTGAACTAAGATATAGAAATGAGAAATAATATGCATCTGTCAAAATGGAATTTTTTAAAAAACCAACAGTATTCTAGAAACTCTCTTTACAAGTGAAATGTATTACTGTTTTTTAATTATGAACAAAAAGCAAAGACACTAGAAGTCTGTTTTGTTAGAGTTATTATATGCATAGGTAATATGTAAACGCTTCATAGCTTACAGTCAAATTAATTGCAATACCAGACAACGCACAGAATGATATAACTTCCTAATTCAAACCACCAAAGGCCAAAAGAGATTCAAATGCTCTTTAAAATCTAAAAAAACGTTTTTTGTATCTTTTTCTTGTCAGTTCAGCTCAGCTCCTAATCCTTCAAGTAACCAGCTAAATATATTTTCTACTCACTTACTACCAATTATGTTGTTCTTTCCTCAACTCCTGTACTTTTAAAATTATATCTCCTTTTTGTCAACTCACTTAAAAGCATGCAAATACCAAAGTCGGAGCTTCAAAAACAATCATGATATCTATAATGCCATAATGAATGATCATACAGATTTTCATATATTTTATTAGTAGGCTCAAATGCTGTGCTCACTTTAATGAAATTTTGCATAATTCTATAAAATATAGAATCCAAATATAGAATTAACATCCAACTAAAACATAACATCAATTTTGAATGCATGTGATGAAGCAGACTGAATCTATGAAAGTTTATGCAACAGTCTTTATCTCAGTCTCAAAAGTGCCATAAAACCTCTTTTCTACTAATACACATTTAAAATGGATATGTCTGTCAATTTTAAAGTTCAGCTACCCAATAAGAGCAAAAAGTTATTTTATGCTCAAAATAAAATCTGCAATATTGTCTACTGACAGGACACTAAACTTCAGACGGTAGTTATCAATGTAAAAAGCTTGCAGATAAAAGCAGCAACTTTCAAACATTCCTCAGTATGTTAGAATGACAAGACAGCCTTTAAGACACAATACTCTATATCAGTGTTTCCCAACATTTTTTCAGTCATGGAACCTTTTAGAAGACTTCCCCCACCCCTCCCTCCCGAACCATAACTTTATCCCTGAATCTTATTCAGCGCTGTGAACTTAGAGTTCATCCTTCTTACATTTACTCCTATTGCCTCAATATTTTGTATAATGTAGTAGGTTTAGAAATAATGAGAAAACATTTTAAATATAGTCACAAACCTTCATTTTGTTACAAGAAAACATTGGATTCACATCCAATGTGATGTTTGACATTGTTTCATTTTTTTACTTAAAATAGTTTTCAAACTGGGGTTTATACATAAATCCAGGCATCATCCACCTTACTCCTAAAATAGTTTTAAGATGAAAAGAGTGATTTGCATCGACAGGTAGACATGAAGGGGAGCAGAGCTTAGATGGCTTTTCCAGTTACAGGAGGGAAATGTCTATCAGTTCTATCCAAAAGTCATTCAGTGGCACATATTCAAATTTAGGTTTTAAAGCTGAGATACACTGAATTTCAATAAGATCGTCATACTCTGATGCAGACATTTTTTAAAAAGATTTTTCACAGAATCCCTATGATGCTTTTGCAAAACTCTAGGGTTCCACAGAACACAGCTGGGAATTGCTGCTCTATATTATAGTACATCTGCAAATTTAATTCAACTAGAAAGCCTTTCTATTTATTCTGAAAACCAGAGTATCTCCATGGTGGTGATTTGAGTCATCGTGATTGTCCATATAAACATATCTGGGAACGTAAAGGGAATCAGACATCACTCATCCAGTTGGTCAGAGGGTACAAAATGAGGTGCCCACAAGAACACTGTAACAGAAATGGAAACTGGGGGAGGTACTCACTAGATTTTATGGCATTTGATGCACTGGAGGGTCCATTTCCCCAACTGGTAGAAGCCCCTGCATCATCAACTTCACCCCATCCTGTGGTAGTTTCATTTGGTTCACCCCAAGCAGCTGTACCATTATCTGGAGCAGGAGGTGTGCTTTTGTTCCAGACTTCATACAGAAAGAGTGTTGATTATGCACTTTTTATGAATTGGAGTTGCCTTCTAACAGCACAGTATCACTCAAAACCTCCCCCCTTTTCTATGCAACTGACCTCATTATGTCATGTTTCATGCTTCACTATTTGTTCTAGATTTTATGCTATTTCATTCTTGATGGTAGAAAAAAATTACTTAATTAACATTGTAATATTGCACTATTAAGACCTGAGTTTGATCCTATACACAATATAGTTTACCTGAGTTAAAATTAGTATACTAAACAGAAAGATGATTTAGATGAGCACTTATTTAAAGAAGATATAGCTGAATGAGAGCAAGATATGGCAATATATAGTATACATTACATTGCAGTTCTAGTTAACAGTTGCCCATTATTCACAGTTGATAGGAAAATGTAAGTCTGGAACAATAAAGGTAGAAAGCAAAAACAGCGTAAGCAAGGGCAGACTGGTTGAAATCTAAGTAGCTCTTTCCTCTGCTCCTTTCCAGGTGTAAATGACCCTTTCCAATAATCCTTTGCAAGAGAGAAGGATCCCATTACATTTTGGCACACATGGATGCAATGCAACATAGCATTCTTCAATAAATAAATGTCTACATAACGTTATCAAACTAGACTCTAATGCTTGGGAAATGCCAAACAATTTAATACAAACCCAAATAACCAATCCTTTTATCAGCAGTCAACAGACTATAAAACATACCAATCAGATAATCTGGATTGTGAACAGTTAATTTAAATTAATTGCAGGCCAAAGGCTTCCTACAGATGGGGCTACACATAGTTACTGAAAAATAATAGGATACAGGTACTAACAACAGGAGGTTGTCTAGAAAAACCATTATTACTTATAGTGATGCGTCTTCACAAATGCTAATCTAGAGAATTCAATGTGTATAAGGAGGCACATAATTAGTTAATCAGTTATCACTAAAAGCAATAAACACCTGTTAAACCGGAGAACTAAGCACAATTCCCACAGGATCTTGCAAATCATCTGCAAGGTCCCATGGCTATTAAAAGACTGCATCCAGTCCTGGTATACAATATGATCCAGCTATGGAAAGCATAATCTTATGTCCTGATCTAGTATCCGGTTTACCTACATAATCTATCTCCTGCTTATGGAATTTCCTCAATTGAAATGAGTGAACATCTCCAGCTGTGGAGAGCATAGGGGCATTTTCACCATGCCTTTATACACTTCTTATTCTCATCTTGTTATATATATGTAAGCTCCACACCCCCTAAAGGGCACTTTAGGCCAAAATAAATTTGGATGGGGGACTTGTAGGAGGAATAGTTTCCTGGGGGATATGTGGCCCCCTACACTCATATGCTTTGGGGATACCAGATGTTTGCAAATGCACACACAAACACACACAGTAGTAGAGCCTAACTGTACATAGATACAATTCCTGTGTTATCATCTGGATGACAAATCTGAGGCAATATCACATCAGATCATGAGTCCCCTTTGTGGAGAAAAAAAAAGCAAAGTATAAATAACAACAACAATAATAATATACTATGCTCTTTCTCCTTTAAGATGTGAGACACTTCATGGGAAGACACACTACTCTATTTCAATTATCCAGTTTTTAAACTGATGCATCTCAATAACGAACATTGTGTGTCTTAACAGTGCATTTAAAAGCTACATATATACTTAGCAATTATCGTATTTTATTCAGATCTACAATAAATAGTTAGTATCATAATAAGGAAGAAATTATGCACAATACCTGAGGTTGCTACTTTGCTTGGTCTTGGAGTAGGGAGGTTCTGTTCTCGTGGAGCTTGTCCGCCTTGTGAGTTCTTATCCCAAAGATTCACATTCTTATAGTTGTAACTGCTGGGGTCTCCCCATGCAGAAGTGCCATCATCAATGTCCATTTTACGACTGACTGATTGGGGGGATGGTTCTTCCCAGCCACTTGGCTCATCATCTTTTGAGGCATTTGGCTGTGGCCCACTGTTCCAGTTAGGATTGGGTGGTCTCCCATTACCTGGAGGTTGTGGCGGTGGGCCCCAGGAGCCAGGTGTCTCTGACTGCTGGTGGTGTGGCTGCTGCTGATTATTCCAGGAATTGGGTTGTCTACCAGTATCGTTCCATGTTGGAGTTCTTTTATTATTATCCCACCCTCCTTTTGAACAGTTTGCATTTGCACTATTACCCCAAGTCCCAATTTCATTTTGACTGGCTTCCCCCCAATTTGACATTGACTTGCTTGCTGAACTTTCCCAGTTGTTATTTTTTGTTTGATCAACATCCTCTCCCCAGCCATTCTTCCCAGAAGACCAACCCTGATTAGGTGGCCGCCCATTCCAACCTGGATCTTTGTTGGAATTTTCATTCCAAGATGTTGTTACTTTCTCATCAGGTCTTCCTCCTCCCCAATTAGTACTGCTATTCTTATAATCATTCCATCCTCCAGTGTTTTTGGGCTCTTTCCATTCTGCTGGAGTAGAGAGCTCACCCCATCCAGACTTGATTTGATTGCTTTGGCTGGGTGCATCTCCCCAGCCCCCTGAGCTCTTTGTCTGTATGGTAGAACTCTCCCACCCCTCAGTTCCTTTATCCGTCTTCCCTTCTGCCCTTGGCATTTCTTCTATGTCCCAAACAGTATCTTGCTTGATTTGAGTTTGACCCCATCCAGTATTTGAAAGCACTCTGGGGTCCAAATCAGTCCTGCTCAACAAAGTCTGCAAGACTGCTTGGCAATCAGGATGTGTAGGCCTGTATGATCGACGTCCAGAATTGTGACTATCACTACTTCCTGCTTTATGGTTGCTTCCAGTGCTTTGACCTCCAACCTCACTTCCTGTAGAGCTGGAAGATCTTCCCCAACAGGGAGCCTGGGAATTGCCTTGATTTTCAGGAAGGGGGTGGCCCTTTTGATTGTCCCATGCTCCAGTGCTAGAATTTGGTTGGTTTGGACCACTCCATTCTCCAATCTTTAATTCATCCGACCCAGACGGCTGTTTCCATTCTCCCTGAGACACCCCTGATGTCATTTTGTTCCCTTCACTCCATTTGCTTTCACTAGAGTGTTGAGGGCCAATGGTCCAAGACCCATCACCCGTAGACCTGTTATTATTATCCCAAGAATCATTTCTTGACCCATTCGATTTTTGAACAGAAGCTCCCTTCCACGAGTCCTCCCTATCCTTTCCATTGTTCCCATGATTTCCAGGATTGCTTTGACCAGAAGCACTGTCCATTCCAGAAGTCCCCCTAACTGTACCCCAAGACCCAACACTCCCAGTCTTTCTCTCTCCAGTGCTTTGTGAAGGGGCATCTGTGCTCCTGGAGGGATTCCCAAAGCCCATTTCAAAGGACATTCCCTTACTCTCCATTGGGTTTGGTGAACTTAAGTTCAAGGAGTTAGTGTTTCCATTTTTTGGTCCATCAGTGTTGTGAATTTGAGCCTGTTCTCTGCCAGAGACAAAGTTAACACCCGCATTTTCCATCTTTGACTGCTGTTCCCTACAAGTCTGACCTGCTGTATTGATCTGTGCATTGGATCCACCATTATCAGATTCTGAATTCCCCTTTCTTGAATTACCCTCTTGGATTAGTGCTGGCCAAGCAGATGGGTTGCTATTTGGGTTAAAGTTAGTGAAGCCAGGACTGGGTCCAACTCTGTCCTGCCCACTCAAGTTCCTCCAGTTTGTTAAACCACTGGTACTCTCTGATGCAGGGTTGGAAGATTGAACAGATTTAGCCTTGGGGTCAGATTTCCAAGCCCCAAGATTACATTCGTTAGCAGAGCTTCCAGACTGGCACTGATTTCCTTTTCCTTTGTTGCTAGTGGTGCTTCCTGGCAGAGTGTTCTTCTCTAAACCAGGGTTCGAGGCACTGTTGTTGTCTGTGGTGTATTCGGAAGAAGATTCAGTATCTTTGCTGGCAATACAAGGCCACTCTTCCATGTCAGACCCGTCTACAATCACCTTGTCCCAGACGTGAGTTGGGTTGGCATTGGTGCTGTTGGAGGAGGCTCCAGGACCCCAAGTGGAATTTGCATAATTTGAAGCAGCAGCACCTCCAGTTATTGAATCTAAAACAAAAACATATGCAAAATTATGCAGAAGCATATAGAAGATTCCAAATATCATGCAGTCACACTTCTATATCCATGAATTTCACCCTCTACTACTTAAAATATTCCCAAAAGGGTGGGGGTCCAAAAAAGAAAGCTATTGTATACAGTAGGACTTGGGCATCCATGGATTTTGGTATCCATGGGGGGTCCTGGAACCAAGGGCCTATTGTATATGACTTCTGGTATGCATAGCCTGAACTTCATGTTATTTACAAACAATATTGTGAACAACAAATTGTGACACTGAGATGCTACATAGGCTTTCGGCGAGTGACATACAATTTGACATCCTGTCACGATAGAAATGAAGCATCTGAATTATGATTAAAGATTGGTGCAATGTCTTATTTGTGTGTTGGATTTATCATGCTAATAGGAGTCGTGGTGGTGCAATGAGTTAAACCCTTGTGCTGGCTGAACTGCTGGCCTGAAGGTTGGCGGTTCAAAGCCATGAAATGGAGTGAGCTCCTGTCTGCCAGCTCCAGCTTCCCATGTGGGGACATGAGAGAAGCCTCCCACAGGATGTTAAAACATCCGCACATCCTCTGGGCAACGTCCTTGCAGATGGCCAATTCTCTGACACCAGAAACAACTTGCAGTTTCTCAAGTCACTTCTGACATGAAAAAAAATGTTTAATATGTTTAATGGTCTTAAATTATATTTTATGTCTACTGTTTTAATGATTTTATGTGAGGTTTTACTTGTCTGTAGATTTGAAGCATTGAATGTTTGGCTAGATGTATGATGTACGCCACTCTGAGTCCACTGCGGGGTGAGAACAGCAGGATATAAATGAAGTAAGTAAGTAAGTAAGTAAGTAAGTAAATAAATAAATAAATTCCTTTTCTATACCTGTTGGTTGGCAGGCTCTCTCAGAGTTCAGCTGGTTTCCCATGCTTTTTAACATATACATAAACCTCTATGAGGCATTGTGTCAGATTCAATGCTTCCAGTACACAAATGACACTTAAACCTTCCCTTTCCATTTAATTTTTAAATAGTCACTTTGGTTCAAACCTATTTGAACCATATTACTGCCTATTATCAGTAAAGGACTGGACGACAGGAGAACCAAGAGAAACTAAACTGAGATAAGATAGAGATGCTCCTGTATAGGCAAAAAGCAAATCAGAGAATAAAAATTCAAACTATGCCAGCATTTCCCCAAAATTCAGGTCACTACCCTGTGTAAACTCCTAGACTTGGCTCAGTGCACCACCACCCAAGATTTCGATGGTGGTCACTGCATCTGCACAGATAAAAAGATGCCAACTGGACCCTTTCCTGGAGGTGCTTGCTCTGAGCACTGGGCATGCCTTGGTCATACCACATTTTGAGTACTGTAATGCACTCTACCTGGGGCTGTCTTCAAAAGCAGATGTGGCTCCAAGAGGCTGCAGCCAGACTAGAACTGGTTATAGGAGGAACAGATACTCCATGTTACAACAATAGAATACTGATCTCTTCCAATTAGATTTCAAAGTGGTGATATAATCAATAAATAATAATCTACACAGCTTGGGTCCAGACAACCTTTAAGACCACTGTTCTCATATATGAGTTTAGAGATCTATAGGGAAGCATTTCATCTTCAAACGCTTATTTGGTGAATCCAGAAAAAGAAGGTCTTCATGGTGGTTGCTTCCAGATTTTGCAGTGGGTTCTTTTAATACTGGACTGTGTTCTCTATTCTTGTTTTTAAAAGATATTAAAACTGTTTTCATGCCGTTTGGTTTTGACAGAAGAGGCTCTGTTGATTTATTAAAGTTACAACTGATTGGTTTTAGCTGTATTAATCAATTTTAAATGAATATTGTCTCTGAATATAGAGCAAGTAATTGGAGATGCATCAGAACGTGGGTCTTCTGTTTAAATTCTATAAATAGCAGTTCTGAAGCATGAAGAAATTCCCATATTAGAATTACTTGTAACAATTTGCCACTCATGAAGCACAGACCTTCAAACATCAATTAATATGGGGAAGAATGACCAGATTCAGACACTTAGTTTGACTTCTATCACCTATAGTTTTTTCAGTTTTTCCTCCTATTGATTCCAATAGGAACCACAGAAACAAGAAAACAAACCAATGCATTGTGTTGTTGAAGGCTTTCATGGCCGGAATCACTGGGTTGCTGTATGGCCATGTTCCAGAAGCATTCTCTCCTGATGTTTCGCCCACGTCTATGGCATGCATTGGTGGGGGAAGATTGTTTCTAGCAGATCAAAGACCTTGACTGATCTAACCAAAACCACCTTTTAATACCATTATCTGAACCTTGATTGTAGATTTATCTCTCTGGGCCATGTTACACTACAGTTACAGCACTATAAATCCACTTTAACTGCAATGGTTGGATTCTATGGAATGCTATCCATGAATGCAGTAACTCCTATTGCTGCTCAGGCAAGGGAATGGATCATATGCTCTTTTTGGTTTTTCCTGCCAGATAGAATAATAGAATCAAAGAGTTGGAAGAGACCTCATGGGCCATCCAGTCCAACCCCCTGCCAAGAAGCAGGAATATTGCATTCAAATCACCCGACAAATGGCCATCAAGCCTCTGCTTAAAAGCTTCCAAAGAAGGAGCTTCCACCACACTCCGGGGCAGAGAGTTCCACTGCTGAACGGCTCTCACAGTCAGGAAGTTCTTCCTAATGTTCAGATGGAATCTCCTCTCTTGTAGTTTGAAGCCATTGTTCCGCGTCCTAGTCTCCAAGGAAGCAGAAAACAAGCTTGCTCCCTCCTCCCTGTGGCTTCCTCTCACATATTTATACATGGCTATCATATCTCCTCTCAGCCTTCTCTTCTTCAGGCTAAACATGCCATCCCTGGTTCTTCCTCAGGTCAGTGTGATACTTGGAGAAAATATCATTTTAAGACAAGTACCAAAATCCACCCCTGTATAGTCTAAATAATTGCAATGAAAATCATGCACAATGACTTGTTCTAGTGACCAAGTATCCTCAAGTGAAATATGAGGTTCCTGGTCATATTGGGAACTCTTCAGGTACTTCCATATAAGGCTATTATTATTAATTCAGAGAAGTTTACAGTGGCTCCACAAACATTGTTGTAATCTATTTGGTGCTACCTAATTTCCTAATGCATCTGTCTTTCCCCCCAATCATAAACCAGTAAATATTAAGAGGACATGTTCAATAGGAAAATCAATAACTGAAGTAGGCTGGGGCGAGCTGTTATTACAGGACAAGAAGGATGTGATACTAACCCTCTCTTTTATTTGCCATGCATTTCTAGTATCCTACATGTTAGGTACTTCCTCTTTGCAAAAAGCCGAGAATCAAAACTGAGCCATAATATGCTTACTTCTGTGTACACATGAATAAGCTGAAAGACTATAACCTCATATTGGTATACCACAGTGCAGGAGCTGTGGTGGTGCAATGTGTTAAACACTTGTGCCAGCTGAATGGCTGATGTCAAAGTCGGCGGTTTGAATCTGCAAGATGAGGTGAGCTCCCTTCTGTCAGCTCCAGCTTCCAATGCAGGGACATGAAAGAAGCCTACCACAGGATGGTAAAACATCTGCGTGTCCCCTGGGCAACGTCTCTGCAGACGGCCAATTCTCTCCCACCAGAAGCGACTTGCAGTTTCTCAAGTCACTTCCGACAAGATAAAAAAAGTAGCATTTTAGTTTTTAATTTTTTTAAAAAAACCCACTGTGCATGAAAATGAACAGATAGAAATTGAGCAGGAGCTCCCCGCAAACAAAGGCAACACTGGCAGAGATCAATTTCAAATACTGTTTTCTTGTCTGATTCAGAAGAAATACATAGTTTGAAAAGATAAATCAAAATGAACCCTAACAGTCACTAGAAGGAAGAAACTGAGAATAAAATGCAAGCCAAGATACAGAAGTGATCAAAAACACCAAGGGATGCCTTAAAAGACAGTGGTTACTTGTGTGTAAGCTCACAATATACTTGCTATATGCTGGACTACACTCTTTTTCTTTTGGCATTTAAATATACATACAAAGAACAAAGTACAAAAATGGTGCCGAAAACATTCATTTCAAAGTGTCAGGAGGATTATTCATCAGCCATAAGGGCTCAGCAAAGTCTGTGATGCTCATCCATTGTACAAATTCAAGTAATGAAAAACAGACATAAACAATAGAATACCCCGAATGCATACAATCTACGAAAACATTGAATTTAGCTGATAACAGAAAATAAATTGGCAGCAATAGTTTTGTCAAACTGAAGTAGCATACAGAGAGGCCTAGAATCCAGCAAGATAAATGATTATCACGCATGTCAAGTTTTAGATGTCATGGACTTCACAGCTACCTTCCCATCTCCAATTACCACCTCTCTCCACCTTTCTGGATTTCAATTCTCAGGACACAGAAATAACCATCACTTTTGACATCTTTGTAAAACTAATAGATGATTCAAAACAATGGTTCAATATTCCTGCTACATTGAATTAAATGTTGAAGTGAACTAAACTTAATAATTAAATATATATTTTGCTGTAAACCTTTTTTTAATTTACAGGGAAGCTTACAGGATACAGGATTAGTTAAAAGTAATTGCTATGAAAGGTCGATAATTATGATGTAGTATCAAAGTCAAAATCCAGGTGAAAATCAAAGAGCAGAGAAGAAAAGCTTTCATACCTGTTGCAGTCCCACTGTCACACGGCAGCAACACTCCTGGTACTGGTTGTGCGTTGTTTGGATTTGCTCCAGGTGCTGAAGAAGGAGACAACCCTACTCCACTCCCAAGGAGCATACAGGATGGCGGAGGGGGCTGCCCACGTTTCAGTAACACTTTGTGGTCCTGCTGGCAACGGAATCGCGGCGGCACCTCCCGAGGCATGTAGCGGGCGGCGCTTGGCGGTTGACCGTTCGGCACTGCCACCCTTTTGGCATTGTTGCCACCATTAACAGGTGGCGATGGAGAGCTGCCAATCGGGCTGGCGGTCACTGGTTGGCTTAAACTTGGTTTCGTCGCTTCGGGCACTACAATAAAAAAAACCCAAATGTTTACATTTTAAATTGCTTTAAGTGTCAAAGAGAGTCTCTTTTACAAGCTTATGTTTAAAAGAATTCCACCCTTTAAATATATTAGACGAATGAAGGAGAAGCCAACTGTTGTTCCAAAGGTAATCACAAATTTATTGAAGGGAAATTTCCATGTGAATGAAAGAACTTCTATTTCTAGGAACAACAACAAAAATGAAACCACTGTTAGTTAGCTGCCACAATCAAACAATGAGAATCCACATGAAGATCATTAAATGTGCTTGCCCTTCTGGAAGTTTCGTAACTAAAACAAAAATTGTTTTGAAAGATAACAAATGAAGATCAGCTGTGGCCAACAGCCCAAAGGGAGCTTTCATAAGCTGTGAAAGTAATCATGACAAAAACATGTAAAGGCTTTACAAGCAATAGAATAGTGGAAATAAATGTTGCAACTATTTTAGAAAACATCAGACCAATAGATCTGTAAATAGTGAACCCTTATGCAGAGCTAGTCTAGAAGATATGGTTACTCAATAAACTATAAAACAACAAAAAAGGCAAACCAGAATATTCGAGGTGCAACAGGGGAATTTTTGTCAATCGATACTCCCGAGTCATTTAAAAAAGTTTTAGAAGCAAGACCATTTGAAAACATAGGACCCTTTGGTAGAGATTTTCTTTTCAACTTTTAATACAGTCAACGGTTGCCATAAAATGGCTAAATTCTTCACATTGTCATGAACTATGTCTCTAACTCTAGATGATAAACCTTACCAGATCCTTCAGAGAAAAGACCTGCTTGATGTGTCAACCAAAAATGACCCCCAACACAGCCATGGCAATACTGCTAACCATGGCTGTTGAGACTACCATCATGCCATAATATACGATCTGTCTTCCCTTTTATTTTTGTCAACAGAGGGAGTGGGAGAAAAATGTAGAAGAGGTGATCTCCCATCGATACAAAAAAAAAGCATTCCTAGGTACCAGAACAGGAAATAAAACATTTCCATGTGCAAAAAAGTTACATGATTAAATAACTTCTCAAATGCTAGGGATTCTTGAATACCGGTATCTATGTTGTGGAAGATCTTTTCAATCTTATTTCCACTTTTTTCTCAGCTGACAGTGATGGTCCAAAACAAAACAAAGATGGAGAATATTTTGTAGTATGACCATAAAAATGAAGATGTTGAGGGGACATATGCTGCCTTTGGTACTTAATAGCGGGAGTCCTGAGCAGATTGTTGGTGCAAACACTTCCTATCTGCTTCAGTCCTGACAGAGTGCAATCAAACTCAGAAAATCACTTTGACGAGGAGAGGTATCCTGTATGTCTCTCCTAAAGGGAGAAAACGTGGAGGCAGTGACTGACTTTGTATTTCTAGGTGCAAAGATTACTGCAGGTGCAGACTGCAGCCAGGAAATTAGAAGATATTTACTTCTTGGGAGGAGAGCAATGACCAATCTCGATAAAATAGTGAAGAGCAGAGAGATCACACTGGCAACTAAGATCTGCATAGTTAAAGCAATGGTATTCCCTGTAGTAACCTATGGGTGTGAGAGCTGGACCATAAGGAAGGCTGAGCGAAGGAAGATGGATGCTTTTAAACTGTGGTGTTGAAGGAAAATTGGACCGCGAGAAGATCCAACCAATCCATACTCTAGGAAAGAGAGACTGACTGCTCATTGAAGGGAAGGGTATTAGAGGCAAAGATGAAGTACTTTAGCAACATAATGAGAAGACAGGAAAGCTTAGAGAAGACCATGCTGCTGGGGAAAATGGAAGGAAAAAGAAAAAGGGGCCGACCAAGGACAAGATGGATGAATGCTATCCTTGAAGTGACTGGTTTGACTCTGAAGGAATTGGGGGTGGTGACAGCTGACAGGGAGCTCTCGTGTGGGCTGGTCCATGAGGTCACGAAGAGTCGGAAGCGACTGAATGAATAAACAACAACAAAGAGGAACCAACACAAAGGACCTCTAGAGCAAAGCTTAATCTGTGGGTCCTGACCCCAAATGGGGTCTTCTTAGCTGAGTTTAGGGTCGCAACAAATTTGGCAATAGTAAATCTGGTGTCCATTTTAGTTGTTTACATGAATTTGTAAGTAATAATATGAAGCATTTACACTGGATTCTGCAGGACATGCTTCAATTGTACTTCATAAAAAGGAAAATCAGCCTGTTTAGCAAGTCTTGCAAATTCTAATTTATTATCAGTAAATGTACCTATCTATATGGGATCATCTAAAAGTTTGAGTGGAAAGGGGATCACAGTGGAAAAAGTTTAAGAAATCCTGATCTAGAGAACCTAACAATTTGTACTATTTCCTGTTAATTCAGAAGTGCTAAATCTAGAAAAAGCTGGTCAAGTTATTCTGCCTGCCTTCTCATCCAAACTAAGAATATGCAGATTTATTAACACCAAAAGACTGGCATTAATGAATGCTAATGCCAATGGAAACCAATACTGAATGTATAAAAGACATAAAGGAACATTGTAGATATTAAAGCTCTCTTCTTCAATTGATCTTTAGATTTTTCTCAGGGCATTTGAAATAGCCTGCTGAAAATCAATCGTTTTTTGGACTGAAGGAAATACTTTCTCAGATTGCATGGAAGTTCATGCTACCTTGAAGCTGATAGTGAAATGTACTGGGCACTGGAGCCAGCCCACAATCATGGGTGCAAAACCCTTCAATAGGCACCAGTCAACAACTGGCACAAATGAAAGTACCAGTACAAATACTGGAAACAAAACCGCCTGGTAAAAAATTACTTCCATTTCTTCTTCAGTATGAATAAACATGCTATAATCAAAGCTGGGTTTTTAGCAACCAAGTCAGCTGAGCTGAGAGCGTCTTCCCAAGCAGTCAACCTTGGGCTGAGTTGCTTGTTCTTAAAGCTTTTGTTTTGGAGAAAAAAAAACAAAAAACCGGCAAATACAAGCAGTAGACTTTATGATTCTTGCCTGGACAATATGCACACCCAGAATGTCAATCTAAAGGGGCAATTTATCTTCCACAGGAGAAACATAATTTAAATAAAGACTTTGAAACCTCTCACTAGACGACACATGCAGAATAAAAAATCCAGTGACAAAAAATATTAAACAGAAAAATGTAGAAAGAAACTGAATATTAGAACAATAGGAAACATTATGAGATCAGCAAATAAAGAGCACATTCCTGAAGATGCTACTAGCATGGCAGACACAAAATAACTACAGAGATTTATCTGAGCTATGCATGATCATGCACATTGAGGGGGAAGATAAGGTTCCACCAAAGATTACTAATTGTTTCAGGAGGAGCACCAGAACCAAGACATTTTAATGTATTTCCAGAAGTATTACAAAAAATAGCAAGCACTTCCAACTCTTAATGCTTTAAAGAAGGAAATCAAGACACCACTTTCACACAGGCCTTTTAAAACTGCTTAATTACAATGCGTTTTTCTACCGTAATGAGCAATGTAATTGTTATGATTTTACACTTCGTCTAATTTTTTTAATTATGTTTCTTGAGTGCTTTTTAAAAATGAAAGATAGGTTGCAAATATAATCACATCTATCAGGCCTGGTGCTAGCTATTTATTTATTTTTTAAATAAGTGGTGTGCATCTCGGATTGGTCAAGTAAAGTATATAGATGAAACTAAATTGTGTGCAGAGTTCCTTCTTTCATTTGGTTAAAGAAATGAAATAAACCGAGAAATGAGATTTTAAAGGCCAAAATGATATATGTACAATTCACATAAGGTGATGGAGCCTAACATATTTTGAATACCTAAAAAAAGCTGTTTTATCTAAGGGTGGAAATATAATTCTATGTTAGAAATAATTTGTTTAGAATATGTGTACCCACTTTCATTTATTAGAACTATGACATCTCAAAAGCCACAGCCGCCAAAAATAGCATAAAATCACTTAAAACAGCATCAATTATAAAATTATAAATATGTAAAATTATAAAACCACAGTAAAAAGATGTTTAAGAGATTGACATAGATTTTAACACTGCAGAATCAGAACAATAAGTAGAGGCGAAAAGGATTATTTGTGTTCCAATGTCTATGAGTAGCAAGACAAACACCACTTGCTCCACATGCACTGGTAATTGAGAGAAGGACTCTTTAAATGACTTTAAAGATTAAACAGGTCCAACAGAAAGGGGGTAGTCTTTTGAAAGCCAAAGGCACTGAACAATAAAGTGTTTTAAAGTTCCAGAAAAACTCTTTCATGTCTGCCTAGAAACAAATAGAGAATGAATGAAGTTGTTTCGTCAAAATGGGAGCATGTCTCCAATCAGAGATGTAAAATTTTTGGAAATTCTGAAAGAAATGGAAAACAATTCCTTTTTTTCTGGAGAACATTCTGGCAGAAAAGTGATGCAAAGAAACTGATATATATGCACTACTTTTTCCTATATGAAACCCAAATTTTCATTCTATGCTATTCCTGGAAATTTGGAGAAGAATTTTAAGAACATGTCACTAATTAAAAAGATAAAATATTTTGCTTGAGATTTTCTATGTTCTTCAAATCCCAACCCCTCAAATATTTCTACAGTCCAAAGAATACGGGAAGATTTGTGGTGACTAAAATTAAAAACCTCCTTCTAAGCCAAACTAAAATGTTTGAATTCCTGGACATGTGGATATGAACAACCTGTTCTTATTTTTCCCCACCCTACTATTCTTAGGGATACCTCAGTTATAAACTTAATTTTGTGTCAATATAAGTAAACATAAGAGGCCAATCCAGGAGCATACACAAACACACGTGTGCATTGATATATTTTTTTACTTCTGGGAAATATGGCATTCAAGAGTTTTATAACCATACAGCTAGCAAGCACAGTAGCAAAATTTCAATCTCAGACAAAAAAATGTGTGGGGCCATTCTACTTAAACTCCCACCACCACTACCATTAGATAAGGCTGATCATTGCTATAGTCCAACAATATCTGAAGAGTCACATATGCCCTGTGTCTGGTTTAAACCATATATTCTAATTTTCCACTGTGTTGTTTTTCCCTATTAAGCCAGTAAAGATATTATGTTAGTTCCCAGTCTTTCTTTAAGAGAAACAATCCTATATACTCATGTATAAATCTAGAAAATTTAGACAAAAATCACAGGTCAATGTAAGTACAGAAAAGGAACAATTGCAAAAAGCAAAGGTTTATTTCATTCCAGGAACAAGCACCAACCCTTTCTATTCTCTGCACTCTGGTGCCACTTTTGGTGTTTTGAATACCGGGGCAGGATAATGGTACAGTGAAAGCCAGGAAAAGCATTGGTGCTTTCCCCTCTGAGTGACCCTTGATTTATCCACAGATCATATAAAAATCAATAATTTTATCCCCCAAATCTGCATTTGACTTACAAATGAAGTACCGTATTTACTCGAGTCTAGTGGTTATCGATTGTAATGCATACCTCAATTTTGAGGTGCACATTACCAAAAATGCATTTGCCATCCATTTTGCACCCATCCCCAGCTGGGTGCAGGAAGGGAGAGGAGATAGTTTTTCCTTCACCTCTCAGCTGAGAGAGGAAGGAGAAGCAGCTGGGAAAGGGTGCTGCTTCTCCTTGCTTCTCAACTGAGAGCCAAGAAAAAGACAGCTGGGGGGGGGCTTCACTGGAGAGGTGGTACCCCCCTGCTCCACCATGCCAAAGCTTGGCAAACTCATTGGCCTGGGCTTGGTGGAGGGGCATAGATTCCCAACTGGCCTCCTTCGCAGCTTAAATGAGGCTAGTTTGGAAGCCACTGCTTATCCATCAGGCCGAGGGGCACAGGCAAGGTTTAGGTGCACAATTTTAATGCACGATAGAATGTAATGCGCATCTCCATTTTGGTTAAGCAATGTGGCAATTTGGACAAAAAAGATATGGATTACATGAGTATATATGGTAATCAAGATTGACAAGCATGGAAAGGAACCAAATTCCTACAATTACTAAGTGATTCAGTTATCTAATTGAAATTGGCCATTTACCAGCATAAAGACGTTATAATGAAAATAAAATAAGTTTTCAGTATCGCATCCAATTTAGTGAATGAAATATGTTTTCCCCAAGACTTTATTATTCAGAATTCTTTCCCTTCCAAGATGCTAAGGACCTGGTTGAGGAAAAAGCTTTATACCTATCCTATATTTTTAAAAAATAAAAACAATTACTCCATGTTCTTATCCTCTACTATCACAATGCTAGAATGAATTTCATATTTTTACCTAGTAAATGTACAAGACTCTGTTAAGGAAAGAAAGAGCAAAATAAGTTATACTTTCAGAAAAAATGAAAAGCTTCTTACCTTTGGTTTTTTGATCTGTGACCTGTAAATTAAATGATAAATATAAATACGGTATATGTAAAGTTGTGTGAATTAAAGTATGCTTGAAAGATGAGATAGCCTATAAATTGAAGGTTGATATTCATGCTTTAAAATGCTAGCCAAGTATCCCATTCAATATTTCTACTAGCATACTATATATACACTTTATGAAGAAACACTATATTGTCTTCTTACAAATGTTTTATTATTAGTATTTTGCAAACAGGTCTAGGGAAGAAACTGACTTCAATCTAAGGAATCGATCTCAAAAACAATCAATATAACTGTAAGAAAAGCAACAAGTAAACTCCATGTGGACTACACCACTCACACTGTCATGACCAAAACTGTACTGTTATATCTTCAAGTAAATTCAATACTATTAGATTACAGAAATGACCTAAATACCATAAAGACATCAGATCCTATCTGATCCTGGATGGAAGCAGGATCAGCCGTGGTTAGTACTTGGGTGGTAGACCACTAGCCTACATTTCTGAGGAAGGAAGTACTTCCAAGTACTTATTGCCTATGAAAACACAATGCTATTCACAGGGTCATCATAAGTCAACAGATGACTTAACAAACACTGAAACCTGAAATATGCTCATTAAATTAATTTTTACTTTTCAAAAACCTGAACCTCCCCCTCCCCCCATAAAACCCTATTCAGACAGCTTTCATGAATGGAAAATATTAAAATAATTATTGAAACTAATGAGAAACAGAAATTGTGTGAGAACAGATGGTTTTCCTACTGAGTTGCATGAAACGGGCTCACACCTATTGGTTCCCAGATTTTTGTTTGTACAACAGATTTTGCTTTGGTTCTTTTCCAGTTTACTTTATGAAGCTTTCATCTCTGATATTCCTAATCTAGGAAAACAGAATTGGTGTGCAAACTAAAGACCATCTGATTATCAAGTCTTAATGTTAAAATACTAGTTACTGTACATACAAATGAGCTACAAAATACAGTAACATTAATCCACGCAGCTTCATGAACTGGTAAGATTAATTGTGGCTTTGATTGATTAACATTACTTGACATTACTTCACTTGATGTTGAAAAGTCTCTTGACAAAATTAACTTGTAGTTAATTTTTACCCTTTAAAGAACTTTGGTAGTCATCAAAGTTTTTGAAACACATTCAATTTTTTCACCTCTCTACTAGCCTTAGTGTGAAATCTATTTACTGTATTTTGAATCTCTTTTTGATGGACAGTTTTATGTCTATTCATTTGAGACAGGGATGCTGCCTCCTGTGATTTCTGCTACCAGAATGGCTTGACCTATGATTTTTCATTAATTAAAATTTTCTAGTTTGCCATTCCATACCCACGCTATACTAACTCTGAAAGCAGAAGTGGATAGACTGCAATTTATAATTTGGATCAATTCATTGGTCTAGATAAATAATTGTTGCCACTTTCAATATTGCAGTCAACTTGTTGCCACTATGGCAACACTTGCAATTGCAATATCAGAGGATGTCTATATATGGTCTGTGTACTGGTAGTACTTTTGATTTGCAAGAAACAGTCGTTTTATCCTCAGAGAAAGTAAAACAAACATTACAAACTACTATATTTCATGTTAATGAAATGAGTGGGATGTAGAATTAGACTGTTCTATGGAAAACCGCCCTAGCTATTTGCTAGTTTGAAAATGAAATGACTCATCATAAAATGATGCTCTGAAAGAAACTGTCTACTGCAATTACATGTTTACAATGTAATACAGTTAATGCACCTGTGTCATATGATCTTGATATGTTCAGTGGTAACCATTTTTTATTGTATGCATTGCATCAATTTTGATTTGGAAAACTCCTTGGCATTTGATAATATACATCTTCCTTTATATTATATTACTGTGGTGTGGTATTTAGCAAGTATTTAGCCAGCTACTTTCCCTAAAGCCCTTTTCCTTTCCCTAAAGCCCTTTATTTCCCAGGAAAACGGGAATTAAAAAAATCTATATAGCAGGTAGACTTTTATGTAAGTAATGTGAAATATTCACATTATTGTAATTTCTGGTTTTATTTGCCTTTTATATGAATGAATGCACCGTGAGCAACGCTTAAAGGGCGGAAAACATGCTAAAAGCAGGGATGATATATAAATGACGTTTTCCTCTCCTTCTCTTTCCCCTGTTAGGTTTCTGGCAGTGGTACAGCAGATGTCCTTGAAGGAAGACTTAGCAGGAACTGGAAGTGTGACTAACCCCCTTTCCTCCATCCCTCAATCACTATGCATATGCAGATATTCCAAAATCCAACACTATCTTTCTGCTACCAAGCATTTTGGATAAGGAAGATTCAACCTGACTAATACTGGCTCAGAATCATAAAGGTGATATGAAAAAATTGGCAATCCTCATAACCTTAGGGTGCTAGCCAGTATTATAAAATATTACACACATTATAATATATTAAAATGTGTGTAATTTTTTTAGGAAACTACATCTCTGTTCAATCCGCTGTTGATGAATTGCAGTTTGTGGATATAATCCATTTCTGCTATTTTTCTTTCAAGTTTCCTCTGTATTATTTTTAGTAAAAGACTGCAATTTTGAGGTCTTAGATGGAGTCTCCAGGAAGACTAGTGTCTTCTGTAATTTTTTGTGCATCCCCATTTTTAATGTTTATCCCATTTTTAATTATTTATGTCTGCTTATCCTCTGAAGAAGAGAAAAAGGAGACAGACTCCATGATAGTCAACTGTCTATTCTTTTAAATAGCACCTTATGCTTTTTAAGGGAATAATTAGCACATGGAGCGCATCTCCTTTTTGTTTCCTGCTTATGTATGTGTTTTTCAGTACTTTATGTTTATCTTCAGGCACAGAGACTGGCCTTTTTGTCCAACATAGAGTTATGAAATTTATGTTCGACAGAAGAAGGCATAGATCACATTAAAGGATGGAGCAGTGAAAGTACCTCTAATATTATGGAGGGTGTTATTAGATCCTGTGATATTTCCTAAGCAGATGTATAGGTAGACTTGGCATCTGGGTTTATGGCAAGTTCCTCTCCCCATATGTGTTGTGTGCTCTCCTGCAGGTAAATAACTGAAATCAGGAGGCTGTAGGCTAGTAAAGTCTTGTCACCAAGAGTCCTGTAAGCTTATATCAAATCCTTGACTGCTAGCCCTTGGACTACTGAGTAGTAGAAGATCCGTTCTATATTGATAAGATACTTTAATTTATAATACTCTGATAAACTGATTAGAAATGTTACTTACATGCTGGATTGGATACTGGATTGTATGCACATGCTCTGTATGACATACACAAATGTTTTCAACATGTGAGATATATAATGCTCATTTAAGTCAATGTGCTGCCTCCGAATCACTGGATCCACACCACCACCACCACCAAAAGAGCAGCTATTTTTAAGCCCAGGTAGTGCTGCTTTTACTAAATGTGGTTTGATGTAAACTGCAGTACCACAGACATTTCTCTCACAAAACTCCATCTTTTGTTTCTCTTGCTGCTCCCTTGCTTTCTCATTCTCCTGATTTCTCCCCTACTCACTGTTTGCTGTTCCTCTTTTTAATTCCTATGCTTGCAAACAAACCAAAATATGTATATAAAGGCACTTCCTCAAACCCTCATTCTCATTCTGCAAACAAATAATAAACCTACATGAGCACAATGGAACCAGTGCTTCTTAACTGATATTTCTAATAACATTTATATTTCTCTGCAGAAGTAAAACTGCACCATGCACTTAGAACTGTACAAGGAAAATGGGAGGTTCCAGGGATGTGTATGTGCACACATGTGTTTGGAGAGCCATTGGTTCACTGTCTATCTAAGATTACACAGGACAGAGATTTATAGTTAGACAAAAACATAAAAAAGAATAAAAAGGGGAATCCCTTGGGCCGTTCAAAAATCCAAATGTGGGTCCTGATCTGGCCAGTTACCTGATCAGTTGGTTTTCCCTGTAATAGGCAGTAAGAGCACCTAGAGCTTCGGAGAGCTTCTGTTCAACCATCTCAAAGCTCCCTGCTTGAGCAGTTATGGCACGATCCCATTACTCCTCAAGCAGGGAGCTTTGAGATGGTTGAACAGAAGCTCTCCGAAGCTCTAGGTGCTCTTACTGCCTATTACAGGGAAAACCAGCTGATCCCTAATCCATCTAAAACACAGACATGCGCCTTTCACCTTAAGAACAGACAAGCATCCCGAGCTCTGAGGATTACCTGGGAAGGAATCCCACGGGAGCATTGCAACACACCCAAATACCTGGGAGTCACTCTGGACCGTGCTCTGACCTACAAGAAGCACTGCCTGAACATCAAGCAAAAAGTGGGTGCTAGAAACAATATCATACGAAAGCTGACTGGCACAACCTGGGGATCACAACCAGACACAGTGAAGACATCTGCCCTTGCCCTATGCTACTCTGCTGCTGAGTATGCATGCCCAGTGTGGAACACATCTCACCACACTAAAACAGTAGATGTGGCTCTTAATGAGACATGCCGCATTATCACAGGGTGTCTGCGCCCCACACCACTGGAGAAATTACACTGCTTAGCCGGTATTGCACCACCTGACATCCGCCGGGAAGTAGCAGCCAATAGTGAAAGGACCAAGGCAGAGACATCTCCAGCTCATCCCCTGTTTGGGTATCAGCCAGCACGTCAACGACTTAAATCAAGACATAGTTTTCTTAGATCTACAGAGACACTCGCTGGAACACCCCAGCAAGCGAGAGTCCAAAAGTGGCAGGCCCAAACCCATCACCTCAATTCATGGGTGATACCAGATGAGAGACTCCCCCCTGGGCACTCAGAAGACTGGGCGACTTGGAAGGCGCTGAACAGACTGCGCTCTGGCACCACGAGATGCAGAGCCAATCTTAAGAAATGGGGCTACAGGGTGGAATCCTCGGCATGCGAGTGCGGAGAAGAGCAAACCACTGACCACCTGCTGCAATGCACCCTGAGCCCTGCCACATGCACAATGGAGGACCTTCTTGCGGCAACACCAGAGGCACTCCAAGTGGCCAGATACTGGTCAAAGGACATTTAACCAACTACCACATTTGCAAAATCTGTGTGCTTTTTTTTCCTTTTTCTTTTTAATCTGTGTGTTTGTTTTGCTCTGTCAGAATTGTAATTCAATGGTTGCGGATGACACGATAAATAAATAAATACCTGATCTGCCCGTGTCATTTGCCTCATAAGTATGCAACATTCTCTTTATAAAAAGAAATACACCTTGGCTATATAATGTTTATAAAAGCAATATGCCCTAGTCTCTATGTGACCTCTACAAAGAGCATGTAAGCTATATTGTATAAACTACACAACATAAGCTAACTGTTTTACTTTACAAAGATACAAAAACAGATAAAAGAATGATAATATCAATGTCTTCAAATTAGAACCCAAGAAATACGAAATATGTTAAAATAAAATGCTGTTTATCTGTCTACTTGACAGTACTGTTGTTTGCAATTTGGAAGTCCAGGTGACCCAAACTGTGATATTTAATTAGATACATACACACTGACAAGCACAAGGCAAAAAACTGCCAAGTAGATGGGGTATTTTGTCACTGGATAGACAGTCAGATTACTCAAATGGAACTCCTATGTAAAGAATCTACTATGGAAAAGAAGCTGAGTTTTCTACAGTACAAAGAATACCATAGAAGAAATAGAATAGAAATTATTGTTCAAAGATAACTTTTACTGCAGGTTACATTCTACTATTACAGAATGATGCAGAGTATTACAGTCGTATTTCAGCCTCTGATAAAGAAGCTCCCTTATACAACTTTTTATGGGAGTTTAGCTTTATTCCCCCTTTTTTTCCCTAGCCTATGAGCCCAGCCCTCCCTTCATTCGTCTGCCTAGGCTGGAAGGTGCTCTTCCCTCCAGCCTTTTTTTTTTTTGAGAGAGAGAGAGAATGCTAAAAGGAGGGAAGGAGAAAGACAGACTTTCAATGCTGGGTTGCAGCTTCATGTCCACAGTACATAATTAAATAAAACTTGACTTTGGGAAGAATGAGATTCTAGTCAAGATGGTTCCACTTTAGCTATGTGTGCATATGTAGAAGCACGCAAGGTAAACAACTGCCTCCTAAAACACTGAATATGTGTGAAGAGAACCGCAGGAAGCATAGAGGAAATCAGATTCACCTTCATCACCAGTTTACCTTAGCATGTTGAAATAGCATAGATCTATAAGTGTCGCCATCAAAAAAAAATTTAAGAAAGTGGAGGCTGCTGAAAAAAATATCATCCCTTGGATGCATTTTGGAAAAGGTTTGAAATGGTCATACTGTTCGTTTTGAATAAAAACTTCACTGAAATGTATTGTCGAACACTCTGCTGAAACGCGTTGAACCATTCCCTTTTATGGTGTTGGAAATTTCCTCTATTCTTTCCAAGTTATTTACACCTTTGTTACCAATGTTTCTGTGAAAGAAGTAAAGCTAAGGAACATATCTGCTTCATTAAGTGAGGTATGCTTGTAATTTACACAAGTTTCACATCGAAAGCAAAGAAGTCCTTCTATAGGTATCATCATAATCTTCTTCACTTTTCTACTTGGAAGGAGTTATTTGTATTAGGGATGAAGATCTTCTGTAATTCCTGGTTACAGTTTTGGACTGCAAGGATCTTCTTGATCAAAATGGAGTACCAACTATGAAGTATGTTTCATATGGGCAGAAGGGGAAAATCACATCCCCCTTTTATTTGATTTTACCGAAGTGTACAAGTTAAATTTATCCCCACAAAAAAATCTTTCACATGTTAATGTTTCTATTTTTACTATAAGATACAATAACTAAATGAACAATAAAGCTGAGTAATATGTGTACTGGGCTATCCAAATATCATGTGTTCATGTGTGTATGTGCACAAATGTTTTTAAAGCAAGTTCCAAAGTCCTTCAGGCTCTTTATTCGGCATTATAAATCTGGGATAAGCAGAGAAGCAGAGAATTCACAAATCCAGCCAAATCTTAAATGGGCATTGCAGATATGAAATTAACTTAAAAGTGTGATATTATCAGGTTTCACCACAAAGCACATAGCCTTCTTAAGTCTCAAATTTGGACAAAAACCAGGAGATAAGTAACAGACAGATAATTCCCTATATTTGTCTACTGCCATCTCAATAGATAAAGGCAATGCTTTATTTTTAAATATAATTAAATTGGGAGAGCAATACACTATGCCTTTTAACATAAGCCTGTTCAATATTCCCTAAAACCATCCAAACATTAAATGTCATATTCTAAATGCATTATGATCACATCCCTCCTGGAGCCCTTGCTGGTGCAATGGTTTACGCCCTTGTGCTGGCAAGACTGCTGACCGAAAGGTTGGCAGTTTGAATCTGGGGAATGGAGTGAGTGCCCATCTGTTAGTTCCAGCTTCTCATGCAGGACGTAAGAGAAGCCTCCCATAGGATGGTAAAACACCTGGGTGTTCCCTGGGCAATGTCCTTGCAGACAGCCAGTTTTCTCACACCAGAAGCGACTTGCTGTTTCTCAAGTTGCTCCTGACACAGGAAAAAAACCCAATTTGACTGTTTAGTTCTTATTTAAAATCTTATCTAACTGATCTTTTTTTTTTTTAATGGCTTAGATGGCTTCAATGTACAGCAGAGTTACAACAGCAACAAAATGATTACGTCACCAACTGGAAAGTGGTAATAACATCATATACCCAAAAAACAATGTCGCATTTTCTGCCATTTGTATACAAAGATAACAAAAAACTGAGACATAGTTAGTCACAAAATAAGCTGAAAATTACATCTATGCATATAAGCTGTGGTATAAGAAACAGGAACATCAGGCAATATGGAACTCAATGTATGATAGATGAGATTTTAAATTTCAGGTTTATAGACTGCCCTGTATCTAGAACCTTGTATCTCAACCTGTCAGTTCCCAGCTGTTTTGACCTTCAACTCCCAGAAATCCTAACAGCTGGTAAAATGGCTGGGATTTCTGGGACTTGTAGGCCAAAACATCTGAGGATCCATAGGTTGAGAACTACTGATCGATAGGATGCTGGGTTCCCTGTGGTCAGGAATGAGTTTGCACAATCTAAAGTAGCTCCCATTCCATGAAAGTTTAGATTTTGCCACAGTACCACTTGCCTTAACTACATCCTATTTAAATTACTGTAACACATTCTATGGGCACAGTTGGCAACACAAGCTTTAACTGTGTGAAGGCATTCCTGGCCACAATAGAAACTTAGGACTTTAAGTTCAAAGCTGAATTCAGAGATACATCCACCAAACCATAAAACTGTGTCTTCAGGAAGTGTAACATATAGAACAGGTTAAATCCCTATCCCCTAATCTGCCTTCTGGCTGACCAGGAGTCTTGTCTGAATTTCAATTTGTTTGTACTCCTCCGGCCCATTACTGATGACAGACACTGGGATGTATATCACTACAGAACTGATGCAGTTTGGCACCACTTTAAACTGCCATGGCTCATTGCTATGCAATCCTGGGAGTTATAGTTCTTTAAGGCCTTTAGCCTTCTCTGCCAAAGAGTGCTGGTGCCTCACAAAACTACTATAAATATCAGGATTCCATAGCAGGTTGCTACAGGATCATGGACTTGAAACAGAATAGTCACTTATACATTTGTACACAACCATTACGGATGAAAAATACGAACCTTTAGCACACAAGATCTCAGCTGTAGCATGTTGGCAAACAGTCCATATATGCTAATCTCTTACATTCATGTAAGAAAGACAAACCTGGCTTACCTTCTGAGTAGATTCCTTCTTTTTCTTATCCTCTTTCTTTCTTTTCTTGTCTTCCATTAACTGTTCTTCCTTTTCTTGCTCCTTCTCTCTGTTAAGAATTTTAAATTAAAATTTAGTCATCCAAATAGGCACTATGCCAAAATCAAGAAGAACAAATTAAAATCTTAAAACATCAGACATGCCCAGTGTGGTAATTAATCAAAGAATTAGCTGTTTTCAGTCTAGCATGGTCACCAGGGATGTGATGAAGGAGCTTGTCATTGATCTTGCACTGTATCTATCTGAAATCTAGCATCAACTGACACGTTTCCCAGTTCCAAGATTACAATGGAGAGAGCTTTATATGGCAATAAAACCATCTAAGTAAGTCTTTTAACATTATGGCACTGTTTTATTGTCTGTGCGGAGGCCACCAGGGGGCACTAGGATAATCTATTTCGCGTTTTCACAAGTTATTCCCCCTCCCCACTACCTATTTCATAAACAAGGGTTGTTTCCAGGACAGGAACATGGGTGGGTGGGAGGAATTAACAGGAAAACGGGGAAATGGATTTCCCCCTTCAACCCACCCTCCACCCCCATAGAGTAGACTATCCTTTTTTCTCTAACACCCCTCTGGTGGCCTCCACCTGGATAATGAACCAGTATCAAAATTACTAATACTGCTAATGATCAAAAGGCTAAATGTTCGACTGGTGAAAACCACTTTTTTAAAAATTCAAAATCCTTATTAGGGCAATGCCTTTTATTTGATGAAATAAAAGGTTACAAAATACTGCACAAGCTTTCTAGTTCTCAAAAATGTAAGTTATAAAATAAAATTAGACAAATGATGGTTGGCAGTACTGTTTCAAACACATCTGATATCTTAAAATGGGAAGACAGACTGTTTACAATCCACTCTTCCAAGAACTAAAATAATTTCACGTATATGTAATCAAGTCTTATAAGCCAGGATCCTCATGTTGAAAACATACCCATTCAGTGACCACCAACATTTGTCCACTGAAACCCAGCTTGTATCTCTGTACCAAGTTCTTTTCTATATACTTCTCTACCAGCACACCTACTCCTGGAATAATAAGCTAATAAACAATGACAACTGAGTGACATGACTAATAAAAGGGGTATTTAAAATGGGCTATTTACACGCTATCTTGAAGGATTGTTTATTAGATCATAGTTCAGGAGCACGAAAAATTGATTCTAAAGGATTTTTTTGGAGGGGGGGGATGACACTATAGTTAAAGGAAAGAGTTTGCTCTTTCCTAGGTTTTACCACAGTAAATATGTGATGAAAAATTGATATTCAAGATAAAAACTCCTGTAGGACATGAAAAGAACCTCTACTCATAGCTACACTTCTCCAAGGCTATGAAAATTCTCTTTGAAAAGCTCTAGGGATTAAGAGCTTATGAAAAGCAGGGACACTTTACAACGTTTGGTTGTTTTAGTGGTACAGCTAATCAGGACAGCCAACTACATGAATCACTATTAGAGAAAAAAATTGTTCATTGAGATTCTGGCGAGGAAGTTTGTCTTCTTTTAATAGTGCACAAACAACAATAGATATATATGACTTTCTCAATAAGATGGCATGCATTTTAAAGCAATTAACTGAGGTAAATAACATCGTCCCATTTAAGCTGCCAAAGCAATACCAATAGACTGAACATTTTCTAAGGCAATTAGAAATGCATGTGGGGATTTATTCTATATGAAAATTAATACAGCCATGATTTAAATTACAATGAGCTGTGTTTAGTGATGTAGTTTAATGTATATCCCATCTTTCTCCCAGCATGGATGTCAAGGTGGTGTATGAAGTTTTAAAAGCACAATTCAATTTAAAAACATAGTACAAAATTAGAACATAATTACAGGTAGTAATATAACATAAAATACAGGAAGTCCTCAAAAGCATACTGAAAGTGATGACTGACTGCAGATCTACTACATGAGGAAGGCTGAGCCAACAATGAAGGCTAGGATGAAATAAATAAATAAACACATTGAAATGTACAATGAAGTGGAGAGGAAGACACATGTAGTAAAGTCTCAGGAGTGACAAAGTCTCATCAGTGAACTGGAGGGGTGGAGTCACTTGAGAAAAAAAGTAGCAGTAGACAGCTCAGGAGACTGCGAAGTCATGGACTGGTCCATAATTTCCCCTTTGGATGCACAGCCAACTTGGATCTGAACAATCTGTAAGGGCTTGGTGGAAGAATGAGGCTGGGTTTCAGGGGCTATAGCAGACTGGGGAAAATTAGTTCGAGTTGCAACCTTCATTCGCAGAAGTTTAGAGATGTGTATGTGTGGCCTGGTCAGAAACAGTAGCTGCAGAAGAGGAGGCATTTTTATCTGAGTATTTTGCCTTTTTCTTCTTCCTATGCTTGTTCTTGCCATCCCATCAGTGAGGGTCCAAATAAGTCAGAATACACAGGAGTAGGAAGAACATTAAGAAAGATAACTGCACTGGTATTACTAGAATGTTGAGCAGACATACACGGAGAGAATTGAAACAGAATCTGATCAGTCAGGGTATGAAAGGCTGAGACTGCAGCCGAGCAAAAACCCTTATGTCTCAACACCTTTAATGTAACCTCAGGTTTGAGAACCAATCTTTTTGTAGCCAGTCTAATGGATGAACTTGACCCACTGGAACTAACACTGCATATGGAGATGCAGAAACCACAATGGAATCAAGGTTTCAAGGTCCTCCTCGTACAGTACAGCTTTTAGTCTGGATTCATGGTTCTTCCAGGTTGAAAGCTTTACAATGGGGACATAATCCAAGACATAATATGCACCAGGAATGACCATTGTGGGTAGGGATCTTGCTGCTGCATGTAGTACGCATCTTAAACAATGTAGAAGACTGACAGCACCCAATCCAAAGAGTATCAGAAGTATAAAAAAATCCAAAAGCCCAAGGAAAAAGAGTGGCGAAATAAACAGCCCACGAGAGACATTCCTTCGCTGCTCACTTGTAAGACAAAAAGTAACTGAAGGTTTAAGGTAAGAAGGGTACTATAAAGTAACACTGGAGAAAGAGGGATTATTGCCAAAAACCTTACACAGCAGGCCTAGAAGGCCCTAAACAATGCTCTGCATAGGTGCAGAGGACCCATTTATCACAGAGATCATGAAGAAACAGACTAGCTTACGTTACAACTTATCTCAGTCTCAAAGGTACTACAAGATCCCTTTGTATATTGATATTCCAGACTAACATGGTTATGTCTTTGAATTCTACCCACACAGAGTAATCCAAATGGGATGTAATCAAAGCATGTGGCACCATAATGAGCTCTGCCATTCTAATCTACAGGTACAGCTGACACACTAGTTTGAGTTGTTCAAATGCACTCCTGGCCACTGCCAAAGACTAGGCATTCAGGCTCAGTTCTGAGTTTTGCTATCCAGGTACAGTTGTAAATGCGATCAGTACCCTGGGTAAATTTCTATACTAGGCTACACATCACAATTTGACACAAGAGATGCTCAAACATCTGAACAAGTGTACAGTAGAATTATATTTAGAATGATGTGCAAACAGCATTATGAAGATCTTGACACAGCAAAGAATAAATAAATCTTACAGTGTTGGTTTAAACTTTAACTTTAAAAAAACTTTAAAAAAAACTTTAAAAAAGGTATACAAGTTGATCTTTGTCATGAGCATTTAATAATATGAACCATGTGACCTGTTAGAAAGTTCACTCATCTACTGAATGGAATGATTTAACCACTTCAATGAAAGGAGGTACTGAGTGGTCAAATAAATTATATAAACTTACTCACTCTGTCCTGCCTTGATCCAAAGAGTTAACTGAAAGTGTGATGTTACCAGTTCTGCATGTAAAGGGGAGCCCTGTACTTGCATTTTCAATAGCAATTTTTAAAAAAAGATAACCAAAGAATCGTTCAATTACACAGCCCAAGCAAAATTGTGCCTTGGTTTTCAGGCCTTGGTTGTTGTGTTTTTTTTTTTTTGGGGGGGGGGGGGCTAAATCAGAAAACTGCACTGGATAAACCACATCTGCTCTAGTTTCTTAGATGTGGTTATCATGATTTTCTATGAATGAGCAGATGATGACTATTAGATAGTGTATGTTCTGTATCTCAAAATCTGGAGCTGATACAGAAAAACTGGTGTCATTTCTGGAATCAGTTGGTCAAATATACCCACTGGACAAGCTGGTTAGAGCTCATGGGAGTTAGAGTCCTAAACATCCAGAGGGCCACAGGTTTGATATCTTTGTATAGCAGTGGTTCTCAACCTGTGGGTCCCCAGGTGTTTTGGCCCACAACTCCCAGAAATCTCAGCCAGTTTACCAGCTGCTAGGATTTCTGAGAGTTGAAGGCCAAAACATCTGGGGACCTATAGGTTGAGAACGAATGTTGTATAGTATCCTTTTTTTTCACCAACAAAATGGAGTATATAACATTTTTGAACATATAGTAAAATAATACTTTTGCTTTTACCTTCTATGGGAATATTTATATACACACACACACACACACACATATATGCAGGCATTTAATGTTGGCACAAAAGCACTATTCACCTTTTATCTTTCCCAAAACTGCAACTGCAGGAGCCAGCTACTCAAACATGAGTCTTTTAACCGTCTCAATTTCTTTAAGACAAATCCTACCAAAACAGATTTTATACTGCTACACAAATATGTAACTGCTTCTCACGGGGCCATATTATGAAAATAGCAACACAAACATAGAGTATGACATTCTTAGCAAGCCAAACATTTTTGCATCTACACATTTAGTAAGTTGAATGCATCTCAGAACTATTTTTTCAAATCAAAATCTGAGATTTATTTATTAGAAGTTGTCTCTATTTAAAAATCCTCATGCATTTCTGAATCTGGCAGGAGCCATGATATAGCATTGAATATGCCTACAGGTCACAGTGGGTAATGCTCTGGTATTGCCTTTGTAGCAACTACCCAGATTTCCTCCATACTGAAAGCAGTAAGACCACAAAAGAATGACGGAGCAGAAGTTCAGTTATGGAATTGGTTGCTAAATGCAGAACTAAAACCACACCTCCTGTCTCTACGAGGC